ACTTGAGCGATGAGGAAAGTGCAGAGCATGTTCATGCCAACTGCGAAGAAGAAACCGGCATTTCGTGTCTCCAGCGGGAATATCTCGCTGGGGATGAGCCAACCTAAAGGACCCCATGACCACGCAAAGCCGGCGACAAAGAAGCAGACCAAGAAGACCACGAAAAGGGCATACCCTTTTGGAATCTCATTGGTGGATTTCAGGTGTATTGCGAGTGTGGCGCCCATGGTACACTGTAAGCAACCGAAAAAGAAAAGATCATGCTCATCATGCCAAACACAAACTTAAGGAACTACATGCCATAGATAAGGAAGCAATGATCTCAAATAGTGGAAACTGACAAATGATGTTTCTATTTTGTAACTCAAACGAGTTAGCGAGGTGATGAGATGAAATTTTGAAATCTAAATCTAACTGTTCTGGACGGCCTGAACTGACCTGGGCAACAAGCATCTGAATAGCTGCCTCGATGAGCAATACCTTTCTCCCACATCTATCCACAGTAAAAATTGCGACCAAGGTGGACACCACATTTACAAGACCCGTGACCACAGCAGATAGAAGCGAGGCATCACTGCCAAAACCCATGGTTTGGAACAGAACTGGAGCATAAAACATGATCACATTGATACCAGTGAATTGCTGGAAGATTTGGAGGATGGTTCCACAAATCAATTGAGGCCTACTCGAGCGATTCATGAGACTTTGGAATGAGCTGTCCACCTTTTTGGCCATCTCCGTGGCGTGCAAGATTTCTTCATATTCTGTGTCAACGTTATCCGTCCCCCGAATTTTCTTAAGTGCCCGAATTCCTTCATCTAACTTCCCACGCTCTATAAGGCTAGTTGGAGTTTCCACTATAGTGAGGGAGCCAATCAAAAGAGCAGCGGCAGGAACCGCTGCTCCGCCTAGCGATACCCGCCATCCGTTGGGATGCAACCGAGACGTTCCATAGTTGATGACATTGGCGATCAAAATCCCGACAGTGATCAGTAGCTGAAAACATATATTGAGGCCTCCTCGGTAGTTGGCAGGAGCGATTTCTGATATAAACAGTGGTACTGCCTGTATGTTCAACAGGACTGGAGGCATTATTGTTGGTTGTGAAATCTCAAAAAAATAATGTCAAAATGGGTCACAAGGATTCCATCATGGAGAAGCTTTGTACAATGTGTTAAAAGAAAATTCCTCAAAGGCACTTGGAAAATGTAGGGAGCATAGCTGGTACTATCAGACCATTTAACAGAAAAGATCATAGCAAAGTAATATCCTAAATACGTTTTTAATCAAGTTAGACTAGAGAAACCCAGCTTTAGAATTCAGTGTATCGCACAAATTCATTCTTGAGAAATTTTGCATAGATTCGAGTTAACGAACTCAATCGAATTCGACGACGGACTCGTGGAGAAACGTGGATGGACTCCTATTATGCATACTACTGTGTATATGAGAATCATGATCTTCATGTCCCCAGTTTGGTCAACTTAATTAAATCTCTTTTGTTTTCATCTAACAAATGAGGAGATATTCATTCACCTGGTTGCCAAATCCCACTCCTGCACCTAGTAACAGCCTCCCAATGATCAGCATGGCCAAGTCCCTAGCAGCAGCATTTATAATGGCGCCGACCAGGAAGAAAACGGAAGCAGTCCGCATTGTTGGCCTCCGGCCCAACTTTTTGCAAAACATCGAAGCAATCAAGCTAGCCACAATGGCCGCCAGGTACAGCGACGACGTGAAGAGCTGAAGATACTGGTCGTTGAACTTGCAATAGTTGTTCTCCTTGGCGCGGTGCTTCTTCACATAAACGCCCGGAAAGAACTTGATCAGAAAATCGTCCATGGAAGTTACTCCCCCTGCAACCACCACAGCAGCAAAAGTCAGGTCGTTCCTGACACAATCTGACGCGTTTACAGAAAACAATATCTTGAAATGGCACGGATCGACGTGACTAGGTAAACTTGAATTGGCAATGTAAACACGGGTCAGACAGGCCTAACAAAAGTCGAACTGATCGCATTAACTCTACCTGAAATGCCAATGTCGTAGCCGAACATGAGACCACCAAACGCAGCGATTATGCTGCAGATCAAGACCTGGCCCGTGAGCTTGCCCCCGTCGACCGAGCCGCCGCCGGAACCGACCACCGCCATGGCAGGCATTTTCTCAGCAACCCCACTTCACTAGCAATCGTCTCTAAAACAAACTTCGCTCGTTTGTTATCACTGGCGTCGCTGATAGGCAGAAATCCCTGCTTGGCATGGAGGCAATAAATACTTGGACGGAGACCAATGACAGGCTTACACGCAGAGAAATCAGTTTCAGGATTTTCGGGATCATCTGAAACGTGATGAAATGAATCATATCTGGATAGGATTGCTTGTCGAAAACTCGGGCTCGGATGCGGTGACTCGACGAGATCCTGAAATCACTCGCTTCTTAGCTGATATTCATCTGCTGTTTGACCTTTCTTCCCCGTTTCTCTGCAACTGATATTTTCGCGCTCTGCTAAACTGTGACCGTGCGCATTTGATGAAAGTTGACAGATTTTAGGAAATTTTTTGTTTTGTTGATAAGCACCTCAAATAAACTTAATAAAGCAAAATTGGTTGATAATCTAATGGTGGGAAAATTGGTTAGTCAAGCGAATGAAAATTAGTAAACATGAGATCTAGAATTTTTGTGAGAGAGATAAATAAAAGTTGGTAAACGACAACAAAAGTCGGTAACTCCAATAAAATCAAATAAACGTTGGCAAGTAGTAATTCAAATGAGGACCGCTAATATAAGATTAGTAGGTAATTTAATCGAAAGCCGATGAGTCACTCAAATAGATTCTGATAAGGTTATTTAAGAGTTGATAAATTTGACACATTTGTAAAAAAAAAATAATAATAATAAAAGCCACTAAATGACATGAAATATTGATGTTTTTGTTTATCGACAATATATTGAAAATCATGTGACAGGTAACTTTTTTACCCTTATCAACTTTTTCGTAAATGAAATCGCATAGAAAAAGAGTGAGAGGGAGTTTTCTTTTCTTTTCTTTTCCTTGGATGCAAGCTCTCTTTGCTGTTGAGGGTTTTTCCAGTCAATACGTATATACTTATATTCTTGTCTGGGGGAGGTTTTATAACATGTGTTGTACTGTGTAATTACAAGGTTGGATTTATTTATTTACTTTATTTCACAGAGTGACGCAAATCTCATAGGAGATTATTATCTCTTGACAAACCTACTCGGTTGCAACATGAGCTGGGCCGGCTTAGCAAGCCCAATGGGCCACCAACCCACCGATGATCGGCTCTACTTAGGACCGGCCCTTGTTCAAAACCCCGACTATATCGGTTGACCGTTTCTCCCTTTCTTTTGCATTCATTGTGAACTTATTGTACATTCATGATTCAACAACCCAATTCATGTTGCACGCACTTACACATTTTTGTAATCGTTTCCCTTTTTCCCTTAATCCGACAAGAAAAGTGCACCAACAGGACTTTAAGTTAAAAAAAAAAGAAGTTTTTCGAAATGCAAATTGCGTTTGTAAAATTATAACTTAAAAGTCATTTATAAAGCATTTTTGGATAAAATAGTGTAAAATTCTTCTTATAAAGGACTTTTTCTATTTTTAATTAAAAAAAGGAAAAAAAAAAACTCAAACCATTCGCCTCCTTCGATGACCACCAAATCTGATTTAGTGTCAGCCGCCGTCGTCTGAAATTACAACACCTTAGGTGGCCCCCGACGAGGGCATGTGACCTAGGCGAGGATTGCCTAAGATCGTGTGAACCCAGGCGGCCCTCGCACGGGGTCGTGTGAACGTTGGCGACCATCAGCCAGCCTTTGCAACTCTTGACCGAGCTTCGCCGGTGATCTATGTCCGGAGAAGATGAACACTTACTTACAAGGGCAAAACTGGAAAAAGAAAAAATTGGTGATGGTAGTTTTGAAAGAAAAAAAATTATTAATCCTGGGAAATGGCCTTTTCGAAATTACTGAAAATTTTTCCTAAGATCAGCATTTGATTAAAGGGATCTAAAAAAAAATTACCGAACACCGCAAGCATCCTCTGAAAAAGCTAAACCAAACACAGCCTTAGAAGTGTTGGCATTGGCAATCCAATTTTCTCCTTTATTAGCCAATTAGATGTTTTAGTTTCTATAATTGGGGTAGTTTCCTATTGTTCGCTAATGTGGCATACTGCTAGACTCCATTCCTCATTTTTGCGTGCCGATGTTCGCACATCCTGCTTTTCCTAATCTCCTATATCTTTGTCTTTTCCAGAAGGAGGGAATATTCTCTTGCGAAACAGTTTTACCTCTTGCTCAGGAGGATTGATGGGGGCAAAAACCATATTCTCTATTGGGAAAATGACACAAATAATCCATGAACTTTAGTCCAATGCGCAATTTGATCCATAAACTTTTAATTTGTTCAATGTAGTCCCTGAACTTTAACCCAATGTTCAATGTAGTCTTTCCATAGGACTATATTGAACATTTTTATAAAGTTCAGGGACTATATTGAACATGCACCAAAAGTTTAAAGACCACATTAAATAAATTAAAAGTTCAGGGACCACATTGAACATTGGATTAAAGTTCAGAGACTACATTGAATAAATTAAAATTTCAGGAATCAAACTGTATATTGAGCCAAAATTCAATGACTGTTTGTGTCGTTATCCATTCTCTATTTGTATCTTCCCTAGGACAACGACGGCCAACGGAGTGAGCGATTCTTTTTTTTTCCGACCCAAATAAAAAAACGTATCGAAATCAAATCGAGAAAAGCCCACGGAATGGAGCAACTGACACCAGAAAATAAGAACAGCAACGCGCCGCTACTGGATTTCCCCACCACCCTCATCCGTCCGTTCCATCGGACGGCCCAGATTTCAAGCTGCAATTCTCACCTCGACCCCACCTCCCTCCCTCTTCTCCTTCTCTCTCGTCTCTCCCTCTCTTTCCCCTCTCTGTGTGTCGCAGAGCTTCGTTGATCACACAAAAACGCCCAGATAGATTAATCCCGCCCTCGCATCCGAACTGAAAAACGTTTCCATCTTTTTCTCTTCCCTTTTCTAGGGTTTCGAGATGATCGCTGTCGAGTCCTTCCATCCCGCAATCCATGGAAGATTTCACTGCTCCCGCGGATTGAGCTTGTTCCTGCATCAATCCCGGAGGTTCTATCACGATTCGAATCGCTCCGCCTCCAATCCCCCGCCCGTCGCCTCCTTGAATTGCGGGCACCTTTCGATTGCCCCGGCCGGCTCCGGCAAGTCGAGCCTGTGGGGAGCTTCTTCCCTGCGCAGTCACGGGCTGAGGGATTCCAGAATCCTGGCCAGCACTCAGGACGGCGACTCGACCGCGAGCCCGAGCGAGAAGAGCGAGGCCAAGGCCGGGGACGGGGCCGGAGTCAATGTTAATCAGAACCCGGGGACGGGTTCGAACAAGAGGAGGGAGAAGCAAGGGAAGGGGAACTGGTGGTGGTGGTGGTCTAAAGGCGGGAAGTGGCGGTGGCAGCCGATAATCCAGGCGCAGGAGATTGGGGTCTTGCTTTTGCAATTAGGGATAGTTATGTTCGTCATGCGGTTGCTTAGGCCGGGGATCCCGTTGCCCGGTTCGGACCCGAAAGCCCCGGTGGCTTACGTTAGCGTTCCGTACAGTGAGTTCCTGAGCAAAATTAATACTGATCAGGTGAAAAAGGTGGAGGTCGATGGAGTGCACATATTGTTTAAACTGAAGTCCGAGGCTAGCAGTGGAGAGAGTGAGGTGGGAAGTGTGAGTAGGTTGCAGGAGTCGGAGTCATTGATAAGAAGTGTGGCTCCAACTAGGAGAATCATTTACACTACGACAAGGCCTACGGATATTAAAACTCCTTATGAAAAAATGCTCGAGAATCAGGTCGAGTTTGGGTCACCTGATAAGAGGTCTGGCGGATTCTTAAACTCGGCATTGGTAAGTTTTAGGCGGATGATTTCCCGTCGCTTTGCAATTCCATGAAGTTGTCGAATTATGATTGAGGTAGATGATTAGCATGAATTTGTTTTTTTTTTTCAGTAAAAGGTCACCTTCTTTCATTGATGTTCTGCACCCTGAATACTTTTGTTATATCTCGCTAACTAGTGTTCATGGAATGATTTGATTGTTCTGACTGCTTCTTTGGATGGAAAATTTGTTTTCTGTTCCGTAGATTATGAGGTTTGAGACTTGATCTATTTTTCTATCTATTTTTCCATGACACGCGACTCGTGCTCTTGTAGATTAATTGCATGTATGTTGCAGTGTATTTTATGGATGAAGAATGCGTATAATTATTAGTGAATAGAATGAGTGCTCTGCGATCTGTCGTCGATCAACCTGTTAGAGTAAGTATCCGTCGAATGGTCTTAACATTTTATCGCTGTTAGTGTTAAGCTTGACCTATTGGACAGGCCTTCTACTCTCCTTCTCTTCTATTCTAAAAGAAGTTAACAATGTTCTCTGTTCTACTATAGTGAAGGGATGTTCTCTCTTTTGAGACGTACCAATGTAGATCTTCCGAAAAGTTCCGGTCTTTTAAAGATGTGGATTTTGTTGAAGAGAGTATGGATGGATGATATATGCTTTAGGAAACTGTGCAGAAGGCTAAATGTTACCTTTGAATCAAATTACTTAATTGCATAGCGGAGTTTATATTAATTTTTTTGCTCTTTTTAGTACAGAATGAGACAGAGTCTCCTCATTTATTTTACTTTGCTTCTGCAGATAACTCTATTCTACGCAGCAGTGCTTGCTGGTCTTCTACACCGGTTTCCTGTGAGCTTCTCTCAGGTTGTGCCAGCTCCCTATTGTTTCCATACCTTGAATTTAAGGCTGTAATAATTTTTAATTGGGTACTTTTTTGATGCAGCATACTGCTGGTCAGCTTAGGAGCCGCAAATCTGGGGGTGGTGCTGGCACAAAAATGTCCGATCAGGGTGAAACAATAACTTTTGCGGATGTTGCAGGTGTCGATGAGGCTAAGGAGGAATTGGAAGAAATTGTGGTATGTCAGGCCTCCTTCGGTTCATTATGGTACTACAATCAAAATCTAGTCATAATCCTGAAGGCTTCATGTTTATTCAGGAAATGTTATTTACTGCTGTTCTTTACTGCTCAGGAATTTCTCAGGAATCCAGACAGATACGTGCGGGTTGGTGCTCGGCCTCCCCGAGGTGTCCTTTTGGTGAGTTTTTACGGAATATAATCGATGTCCATGATTACTTCTGGAAAATTGGATCAACTGATGTCCAACACATTTCATCATATATGAGATTGAAGTTGCTTCCTTTTAGTGTGGATGCTGTATGCAGTTATGATAGTTGTATGCCTCTTCGAAGGACTTGATGGTCAATACTACTTCACGCATATGATGGGCAGCAGCTGTGATTACTGACCGGGATCGCTATTAGTCCATTGGACCTGAAGCCTCATGTCATTTTGAGTCATTAACTCCTCAACAAGTGTTTATGATTTGTTCTTTGCGAATAACTTGCAACTTTTAGGAAAATTTGTTGATATTTGTTCTGGTATCACAACATCTTTTTAACCAGTACTTTTCATGCGGAATTACATTGTTGTTGGTATTATTTTCTCTATGTTTGGGGAGATAGTTATGCATTCTTTTAATCTGAATTTCGGTGGATGATTTTTAGGGCTTTGTTTATTGAACAGGTAGGTCTTCCAGGGACTGGTAAAACACTTCTAGCTAAGGCTGTGGCTGGTGAGGCTGAAGTGCCTTTCATAAGTTGTTCCGCTAGCGAGTTCGTTGAGTTGTATGTTGGCATGGGTGCCTCTCGTGTGAGAGATCTTTTTGCACGGGCAAAGAAGGAGGCTCCATCTATTATTTTCATAGATGAGGTGAATGTCTACATATTTCCTGCACGAACATCTTCGAGCCTCTTCTCTTTGGTCGGTTGTCACGAAACATTTTCTGTCTTGCAGATAGATGCTGTGGCAAAAAGTCGTGATGGTAAATTTCGCATTGTCAGCAATGATGAAAGAGAGCAAACCTTGAACCAGCTGCTGACTGTAAGCTTCATTTGAGAAGTTCCTTTTGGAAGTATATATTAAGATCATATGGAGGATAAGTTATCGTTAATCTCATTGCAGGAGATGGATGGGTTTGACAGCAGTTCTGCTGTTATTGTTCTTGGAGCAACCAATCGCTCAGATGTCCTGGATCCTGCTCTTCGTCGACCTGGGAGATTTGATCGTGTGGTTACGGTTGGTTATTCTATCCCCTAATCCAAAAAGTGATAAATATTTACGTTCAAGAAATGACTTTTTCTGGGACTCTTTAGGTGGAAGCACCCGATAGAACAGGCAGGGAAGCCATCCTTAAAGTTCACGTTTCCAAGAAAGAACTTCCTCTTGGAGAAGATGTTGACCTCACTGTCATTGCTTCTATGACAACTGGTTTTACTGGGTAATTTTCAATCTCAACTCTCCTCATGGTGTGCCAATCTATGGAACGGCGCGACTTGTAATCATGGCCTAACTTATTAAAATGTCTTTTGAATTTTGTGCAGGGCTGACCTTGCAAATTTAGTGAATGAGGCAGCTTTGTTGGCAGGTAGACAGAACAAACTTGTTGTGCAGAAGGCTGACTTCATTCAAGCGGTAGAAAGATCAATAGCCGTAAGTCTCTCTCTCTCTGGTGCAGTTATTTGATCATATCTAACATCTTTTGCCTCCTATTGTGTGGAATTGCTTGCCGAATTACTAGTCTGTGGTTTAATGTATCTCTAGATGATTATGTGTGTTTTTCTACTTTCACGTGTAAACACTTTTACAGTGGAGTATGCACCCACTCGAGCTATTACTTGTCTTAAATTAATTTTTTTATTAGATTTATTGCTTTATTATAATCATGGCTTTCATACTTCATTTCCTCTGAGATTGCAAATGATTCAATAGACGTCTCTTGGTTCCAATAATGTTGGATAATGAACCAACAAGCGTGTAGAAGCTTGTAGTTGTTTGGTAAGATAAATGGTCTCTTTGTTAACCTGTACCAGGGCATCGAGAAGAAAACTGTGAAGTTGCAAGGAAGCGAGAAGGCAGTTGTTGCACGCCATGAAGCTGGTCATGCAGTGGTAGGCACTGCTGTAGCAAATCTGCTTCCTGGACAGCCACGGGTTGAGGTATATTCTAGCTATGACTTAGCTAGTCCTGGTCTTTTTGTCAAGGCCTTTGCTGTCATGAAAATAGCATGGTTATATGTGGTGCCTAAGAATTTGATTGTACTGCACACGCAGTGGGTTTTCTTTCTTAATATTGTTCAGTTTTTTCAAGTGAAATTTTTAGCGAAAATTTAAAATGATGGTTTTTTCAGAATGGAGTTATAATTCCTAGCTTATTTTTAATGGAATTGCAGTATTTGCCTTACCCAATATTTTGAGATCATGTTTTGCTGGTTGCTAATGGGTTATATAGGCTGTATGTTTCTGTTTTTGCCCTTCACCTTGTCTTTTTTCTTTTCTTTATGGTGGTTTTGCTTGTTTCTTTTATTTACCTTTCCTGCATTTATATAGTGGATGCATTGTGCTGATTGACTTTGCATCATCCTTTCTGTTACTAGTTAGATCTCAGCTGTTATTGTTTGGGAACTATAAATGAAGTTATGGTTGATGTGGATACTTGCTGTCAATTTTTGAAAATAAGCTAAGATTTCTTTACCACATTCTATTGAATCATAGCTCCAAACATCCTAATGATATTTTGATTGATGTACATATTTTGCTGAACATATTTTGTATTGAAGACATATATGGCACAATAACATGCATCGTTCATGTTCTTTCAGAAGTTGAGCATTTTGCCTAGATCAGGTGGTGCACTTGGATTTACTTATACTCCTCCAACAAATGAAGATAGATATCTACTCTTCATAGACGAGCTACGTGGTCGCTTGGTCACTCTTCTTGGAGGACGTGCAGCAGAAGAGATTGTTTATTCAGGACGGGTATCAACAGGTGCACTTGATGATATACGGCGAGCAACTGACATGGCATACAAGGCAATAGCTGAGTATGGCCTTAATCAGACAATAGGACCGGTATCTTTGGCAACACTTTCTGGGGGTGGGATTGATGAATCCGGCGGAGGAGCTCCCTGGGGAAGAGATCAGGTCTTGTACATTATTTCTCTTCTATCTCGCACTGTTCTTAGTGACTCATTTTAGGACAAGAAACCAGTCCCAATAACCCTGGTGCAGGAATAGTATGTGCTTTTGCAGTGTGATTGATCTGCTATTGTAATGACAGGGGCATCTTGTTGATCTTGTACAAAGAGAGGTTAAAGCATTGCTGCAATCTGCAATGGATGTAGCACTCTCTGTGATTCGTGCTAATCGTACAGTATTGGAGGGTCTTGGTGCACATTTGGAAGGTAATTACTCCCGCCACCTGACTCCTTTGCCCTTTTCTGTGCATTCTGCCTTTTTATGCTACCTTGTCATATCTGTTAGTTAGTTATTGCATGTCTCCACCATGATGGTTATATTGAGAATCAATTGAGGTTCGGCTCTTTGGTGTCTAACTATCTCTTATTGGTTATATACTATTTGCGTTTCTTCAGAGAAAGAAAAAGTAGAGGGTGAAGATCTACAAGAATGGCTGAAAGCAGTGGTTGCACCAGCTGAGCTTACCGCTTTCATCCAGTGCAAGCAAGAGTCTTTACTGCCTTTGCAGATGGAGATGGGGTCTTGATGACAGTCTATCTGCTCTTCTATTGCAACCCAAATGCAGAAGATGCAGATCTTCGTTTCCACGCCTGAGTGGTCAGAGAGACGACGTAACCTTGCAACTACATACACATCGGAGTAACCTTAAGTTTTCGAGTCAATTTGACACAGGCCAGTATATTCTTTGGTTTTCAACTCTCCATGAGTGTCTAATGTTATTGGCAGCAATGAAGTTGAAGACGGGATGCTCTGTGAGCAGTCTGCAGTGCCTTGCCATCAAGAAAGTAAAGGAACGGCCACATCCCAGATCTTTATTTGGCTGGTGGTGGTCGAGGTGCGATGGCTGTTGTGTACTTGGGTATTTTTTACTGTCATGGCTGTTGCAATTCATGCCTTCTTAGATGTATACCTGATATGTTCTGTCAATAGGCATTCGGTGTGTTGATAGAGGCTATATGTAGATATGTGATGTATATACATACTTCCATACAGACTTGTTTGCGAATGTCTAATCATAGAGAGCAGATTTTGGATGGATATGCAATTTGTCATGAATTGGATATTGAAACTATTTGGAGGTCGTTTTACAGAGTCGAGGCTAGGTGGGGTTATGTTTGACGGACTCATCACATTGTCCTCTTAGTGTTTGTTAATTTTGTAGCTTTTGAAAGTGCGAACGCAATAAAAAGCTCGATAGTCAGGGACTAGAGTGGACTAGACTCTCTTTTCTAATGTTCATTGGAATCTGTTTTTTGTCCATGGGCGAAGTGTAGGATCCTGTATTGGTGGGCACTAGGAAGGAAGGAGCCACGTCCATGCTTATCATGCAAAGGACATCTTACGGGGATTTCGCGAAGGCACACGATTGTCCTCTATGGTCGATTGCATATGATTGATTGATATTTTTGCATGCGGGACTAAAATATCTGTGTTGCTCTCTGAAAACGACGCTAGCCAACAGTTCTTTTTCTGCTATCGGAACAAAATGACACGATCAACCTGAAATGGGTGGCTTGGGGAGGACCACTAGGCTTGTGCAGAGTCGACTGGTCTATATTGCAGCAATTTTCATCTGCGAGGAAAGTATCTAGCCGTCGTTGGGCTTGAGTGGCTGGAGAAATTCCTCGTCTCAGAGTTATATGGTATACATTTTATACCATACAACTCTTTTTGGAAGATGTTTTTATATTTGGTTACACGTGGGATGTTGCGATGTCTTTAAACAAAAGATACACTTTTTTTAATGTTCGCAAAGAATTACGACTAGCGTCGTAATGTTTTACGACACCATGTTGTATTACAGCTAGCGAAACTGATTTCATAGAGAGAGAATTAGTGAAATCTCGAATTGCAATTTCAAGCAAATGCTCGCATAGCAATTATGTCGTCAATTGATGAAAAGAAATATTCTCTCGTGCGCGCAAATTCTATGTACTACCAAAAAAGGAGAGAATGGAAAGGGATTCCTCTTTGGGGTTCGTTTTCCATAATGCAACCATCTCAATTGCTCCATCCATTCTTTTCATTCAATATTAGCAGAATGTATGGTTGAAGTCTTCCGCTCTCTTCATTTCTCTCAATCTTCCCTCTCGTTTATCGGTTCGCTTTTTCTCCTATAATCACGCAGTTCGACCATTTAATGAGGACTTCTACATGTCAAAGCTAAGCAGATAAAAAAAGGAAGAGCAAAAGAGAGAAAGTTGGCGTTTTGATCCATGTCTAGAGCTCGATCTATTCGTCTAAGTACGTCACAATTCACAGCCTGCGATCCACCCAGAACCCATTCGAAATAATCGACGGTTCAAATGGGCTCGGTTTCGATCAATTTGGAACTAGGTAAGTAGTTTCTGATGACGAGGCAGTGAGGTGGTGCATGCGTACTGCATGATGCACCAGCCAAATGAGGCAGCAATGCCGAGTCACAGACGAAGCTCGTAGAGAGCAAAACATTTCTCACCCATGAACTGGCAGGTCCAGACATGGGAAACCAGCGAGCGATTGTCCTTCCCTTTTCCTTATACGAGGCGGAATTCAACGTCGGCAAGTGATTAAATTAGATGCCGTTTTTTGACTGTTTCCCTGGGCGATTCCACGAAAATATCTTTTGGCCCGGACTGCCACGCGGGCATTCGCTTTTTTGGTAAAACCTTCTCGGCTTCCTATAAAGTCACTCGCACTCGTGAACTTGTCTCTCCCAACTAGAGCTCTCAGGGGTGCGTGAGATCGTGAAGAGATAAGACGAGCTTCTTCTTCAACCAGGTTCTCTCTCTCTCTCTCTCTCTCTCTCTCTCTCTCTCTCTTTCCAGGAATTCGATGCTTTCGCTGTTTCAGGATCGTTTCGCATGTATGCATTTTGATGCGTGGAGGTTATGTTCTTCAGATTTGTTTTGCGTGTTGGTTTTGTTTTTTTTTTATCGCACGATCTGTGTGTTGATGTTTGCCTCCTCGGAGATGCAGACATCATCGTGAAATTTGAGATTCAGGGGAAGTTCAGTTCAACTTTTGGTCTGAGATTCGCTCCGGTACGTTCGTTCCTTCAGACGATAGTGATTCCGCATCTCTTATTTATTATTCTCTGCCTACTTTGGGACTGTTTGTGGCCTTTTCACATAACTAGTTTCTGATGGGAGATGATGTGTGAATTTTTTGCTCCCGTCCTGATGATGCTGGGTTTCGCAAACAGAGATCTCTTTTTGTCCCGGATGCCTCGAGTAGATATACTGCATTTTCTGTTGCTTGTTCAGATGACTGTTTGAATCCTTGGCAATTTGGCTATTTGTCGTGCAGATATGGCATCAGTAAATGCTACCTTCGCGTCGGTCTTGTGCAACAACGGCGGTCACTCTGCTGTAAAGTTTCCGAGCTCTGCCTTCCTGCCGGGATTCGATGCCTGGGGCCGTTCTTCGAGTGCTTGCAAGAAGGAATTCTGTCCTCCTTCGAGAAGCTCGGGTCCCAAAGCCACATTGACCTTTGATCCACCAGCATCGAATTCTGAGAGAACCAAACAAAAGAAGCATACACTTGACCCTGCCGCTCCTGATTTTTTGCCCCTTCCTTCCTTTGATCAGTGTTTTCCAAAGAGCTCAAAAGAATACAGGTTTGTTGCTTTCAGTTCTTGCTGCTGGGAAATTCAGTCACCTTAAAATATAAAGTGTGGGTTTGCATTCTGATGCATGAAGTAACATGGACATTTACATATGTATTATTTGCTTTGTAGGGAAGTCATTCATGAGCAAACTAGTCATGTACTGAAAGTTCCTTTCCGACGGGTTCACCTCAGTGGAAATGAACCAGACTTTGACACTTATGACACAAGTGGACCTCAAAACATTAGCCCTCGTGTTGGTATGTATATGGCATTTTGCCTTACTTCACGCTTCTCGCTAGGACCTCGTTCCTATCTGCTGTCGAAATCCCATGAGATGGACATAAGCTAATTTCTTATCATAAGACATCTACTTTTTTCCCCCTTTGTTTTATGATTTACATGGTTTTGTTGGAAGGTTTCACTTCGTAAATGTGAGTATAATTATCTTTGATCAAGATGTTTTTATTTGGTTGCTCTCGCCATTTCCATAGAACAAAGAATAGGGAAGTGCTCGTATCATGTACATGATGGTCTTTATGTCGTTATTGCACCGTAGGTCAGGCTGAGCTCCGAAAATATAAACTTGGGAATATCTTTATTTGGGTAGTTCATTCCTGTAAGGCACCATTTTTTACCAGGAAAGGTCGCGACCCTTTGTCAGAATGGGATTTCATTGAGTCATGCTGAGCTGGAAGTTTGGTTATGCCTGCATTTTTTCTTTTTCTGAACTGGACCTGGCCTACCTTATGGGTGGCATGTAGATAGACTTTCTCACTAAAGTTATAGCATTACATCTTGGCTGTCATGTCAGTTCTCTATATTTGGTGCTTAAATATCTAAGAACTTTGCTTTGTTTATTCATATGTGGACGTGACTTTTACTGACAAACAGGGCTGCCCAAGTTGCGGAAAGATTGGATTGACCGGCGGGAGAAGCTCGGTGGACCAAGATACACCCAGATGTATTATGCTAAGCAGGGAATCATAACTGAGGAAATGTTGTATTGCGCCACTCGTGAGAATCTAGACCCAGAGTTTGTTAGGTCTGAGGTTGCTCGAGGACGGGCGATCATTCCATCCAACAAGAAGCACTTAGAGCTGGAGCCAATGGTTGTCGGAAGAAATTTTCTTGTAAAGGTTAATGCTAATATTGGAAATTCTGCTGTCGCAAGTTCCATCGAGGAAGAAGTATATAAGGTTCAGTGGGCAACCATGTGGGGTGCAGATACGGTGATGGATCTCTCCACAGGTCGCCACATCCACGAGACCCGTGAGTGGATACTCCGTAACTCTTCTGTGCCAGTGGGGACAGTACCCATTTATCAAGCACTTGAAAAGGTGAATGGAATTGCGGAAGATCTTAACTGGGAGGTTTTCAGGGATACCTTGATTGAACAAGCTGAGCAAGGGGTTGATTATTTCACTATCCATGCCGGGGTTCTACTCAGGTACATTCCTTTGACAGCGAAGCGCATGACAGGGATCGTTTCTCGTGGAGGATCTATCCACGCAAAGTGGTGCTTGGCTTATCACAGGGAGAATTTTGCTTATGAGCACTGGGATGACATACTGGATATCTGCAATCAATATGATGTTGCACTGTCCATAGGTGATGGTCTGAGACCTGGATCAATATATGATGCTAATGACGCTGCACAGTTTGCTGAGCTTCTGACCCAAGGGGAACTGACTCGTAGAGCTTGGGAAAAGGATGTCCAGGTAAGATGATACACGCTGGAAGGAAGGATCCTCGGTTAAAAAAGTATTCTCTGAGAACAGATTTTAATATGCTGGACTGCTTAACTTTAAGACACCCCTAAGACCTATATGCATGGGAAATCTCTTTCTTGTTTCATATGATCTTGCAAAACAGTCACTTCAACGTTCCTTTGGGAGTTGGCACTTTATTTGTAAACCTCTAAGCTTATACCGTTTTTTTATTCTTTCAATGAAAGATATATAGATCTTTTACGCACAATCCAAACATAAGGATGAATGCATATTGGCTATGAAGCTCGTCATTTCTTTCATGTAGCACTAGATAAACTGGCTTTGGAGTTCTAACTTGCGATGGCTGTTCTTTTCACTTTTTAATCTCGGTTGACATTTTAAATTGCAAACTTCCCTGTCTTGTTTTTTCAGGTAATGAATGAAGGTCCTGGTCATATCCCGATGCATAAGATCCCTGAGAACATGCAAAAGCAACTCGAATGGTGTAATGAAGCTCCTTTCTACACTCTCGGTCCCTTAACAACTGATATTGCTCCTGGGTATGATCATATCACCTCCGCAATTGGTGCTGCCAATATTGGGGCTCTTGGTACTGCACTTCTGTGTTATGTGACGCCGAAGGAACACCTTGGACTTCCCAATAGGGATGATGTCAAGACGGGAGTTATTGCTTATAAGATAGCTGCCCATGCAGCCGATTTAGCTAAAGGTCACCCGCAAGCTCAAGCCTGGGACGATGCATTGAGCAAGGCAAGATTTGAATTTCGGTGGATGGATCAGTTTGCTTTGTCATTGGACCCCATGACTGCCATGTCTTTTCATGACGAAACTCTGCCGTCAGATGGAGCTAAAGTTGCACATTTTTGCTCGATGTGTGGACCTAAATTCTGCTCTATGAAGATAACAGAGGATGTGAGGAAGTATGCTGAAGAGCATGGCTATGGGACCGCCGAAGAAGCCATTAAGCATGGAATGGATACTATGAGTGCTGAATTTCTTGCCGCTAAGAAAACTGTCAGTGGGGAGCAACATGGTGAAGTAGGTGGAGAAATTTACTTGCCAGCTGACTATGTAAAGTCCGCCGAGAGATGAAGGTAGGAATCCCCACAATCTTTTCTGCATTCCCTGTTGTAACAAATTAAGCTAAGCGCAGCATACTTTCCATCTTTACGACACTAATTTTGTATGTGATTAAATCATCTCTCTTATGATGTTTTATGGGAACTCCTTGCAGGATCATGTGATAGGCGATATGTTTGGGGAACTTCAAGTAATTGAAAATGCAGCAAAATAGACTTATTGAGGATCGCGATATGCAGTTTTAGTTTCATGCTGTTGGTGAGTATGTAGTTTGGTCAAGCATCTTTCTGGATATTTACTGCTTGTTTCATCTGTCTCGGTCAATAAGAAACTTTCTGCCGATTGTTCCCTTTAGCACTTCTTTCTTTAATTTATTTCCTGGACTGTTCCATTGACAAAGAAAAGCACCAGGGGTGTCTGAATCTGCTCTAGCCTAGCTGTTGCTGGGATGGGGTGGATCAGGCTGAGAAAGTCCCTTTGAACCTGAACAGGGTAATACCTGCGTAGGGAGTGTGCAATTTCTTTTCGTTTTTTTGCATGCTTCCACAGGGACAGAGCCTTTAGAAATGGTTGGGGACAAGTTGAACCGTGCGAGATGAACTTCCGCAGAATAGCTCGCTCATCATTCCCGTGAGCAGGTAGTTATATAACAGGAAATACCACAATGTTCACTGCTTCAACCTGAGATTAATAAGCCCACAAGAGCTAATTATCTTGGGGATACTTTTTTCATCTGCCAAATAACTGACTTTATTGAGGTAAGAACGCATTGTTTCAATGTCAAGATAAAAAGAACAAGACTCTAGAAAAGGTGGGTTGAAGTCCACTTATAGTTGCTTGCTAGTGATGGGCAGAAGAAGTTTTCCTTCTATCCAAGGGAATTGGTGGGTCGCACTGGTGATAATTCATAATTGTGCCTTATTTACAACACGGCCTCGTGTTGGAAATTGTGGTATGCTGTGATTATATACCCATCCACAGTAATTCCGATGTCTCAAGCCGAGCTTCGTGTTCTGGCTGGCGCAACAGTCCAGGCAGACATCTATATCCTTGATTTCGCTTTCTAGGTGGTGGATGGGTCTTCCATCATCAGGCAACTATACAGAGATTATAAATGAGGATGCTTTAGGTCTTGAATTGGGGATATGGACAGAAAGAGTATCATAACCCTCCTGCTAAAGAAATCGATCCTGATTTAGTGACACCCAAAAGTTCCAAAGTGGTACTCTCTTCTTCTTTTTTGGTTGCTGGAAACCCAAAGTTGGTAAACTTTGAGCTTGTGGAAGTGACGAATTACAAGTTCCGTGCAATCCGGGCTTGGACTCGACTCTCGTGAACCACCTCAGTTTCAAAGGTTGCCCCTTGTATCTCTATCACGAGTATAGCGCCCAATAATTCAGAGTAGTTGGTGTGCTGATGTCAATTGTCCATAAGGCCATGTCTCTAACTTCTTTGAAACTGGCTTCTCCTTTGGGGGCATCCTTGGCTCTTTCCTGCGCCTATGGCTTCCAACTTCCAGGAAATTGAATTTTTGCTGATAGAGTGAACGTTTTGTTCACTAATATTTCATATGCTGAAAGTTCTACACGCACAAATTTCAACCTAGGAAAAGACTTACTTTCCTTATCCCACGGGTCGGAACTCCATGGTAAAACCACCATTGAAGTTTATCATCATGGAGCAAAATTCCGCATTCTGATAACCATTCTCTTTCTTTTTCTATTTTTAGCCAAAAGATGCTTTTCTTCTGCAAGGAGTGTTTTCACTCCCCTCGAAAACGTCGGCGGGGTGCCCACGACAATCGAATCGGTGGGCGTCGACAAAACAGGAATCGTTCGATGTACACGCCCAAAAAGATTAAAGCCTCTCATGTCACAACTCCACCAACGTCAAAAAGACAACATTAAAAGGGGTTTTTTCGTCCTACTGCTACGCTTGCTAAATCCATGTGAACGCAACTTGACATAGTATTTCTTTTAGCTCATTTCGACTAATGTTTTTACACAAATACTTTCTACAATTCAAGTTTTTTGCATTAATTAAGAGAAGAGTAAATTCATGCGGGCATTTTCAGATTGGTTCGGACATTTGTAATCCAAGTCGCAAGCAAGATCCTCGATGGCAATTATCAAGCGAAATCAATTAAAGAAATTTTTTGCACACCTTATAGGAAAATCGGCACTTGAGTTTAGGTATCAAAATTGCTTCCATAATTCGTCTTATGTGCGACAAAATCTTTTTTAAAAAAGATGTACGTTCACTAGAAGTCCTAAAACTCGTTGCAAAAGCGCAATTAAGTTCTAAAACTTGTCCAATTGAGTCAATCAAGTCCTAAAGTAAACACCGTCAATTTGTCTAACGGAAAATGCTGACGTTGCATTTTTAAATGAATTTCTCTCTCCTACGTGGCTTTTTATTTTATTTTATTCAAATCTTATTTAAATTAAATTTAAAACTAAAAAAATCTAAATTTTACTTTAAAAAAACTGAAAAAAAAATACTAAGGCTCATTCTCGTAGGTGGGAGTTGCAATTGCTGCCCATCGCCGGAGGGGCCGGTGTTGGGCCGGCCACCTCGGGTGAGGGCCGACGACCCTCTATAGGCCTAGGCAAGGGCCTATATTTGGGTGACGCCAGCACTCGCCTAGGCCTAGTGACGGTTGCTGGCCCAGGTGAAGGCTAGGCATTGCCTAGATCTATGGAAGCCTCGCCAGCCCCATACAAGGACCGACGATGCCTCACCTAGGCCTAGAAGGGTCGGCCATCCTCGCCCAAGGCCGGTGACCTCCGCCAACCCCTCCAGCAATGGGCGGCGGCACCCCATCGGCAAAGCTCCTTCTCTCTCTTTTTTTCATTTTTCTAAATTTTTAAACTTTTTAGTTTTTTAATTTAATTTAAATAAGATTTGAAAAAAAAATGTCACGTATAAGAGACAAATTCATTTAAAAATGCCATGTCAGCATTTTCCGTAAAACAAATTAACGGTGTTAACTTTAAGACTTGATTGAACCAATTTAACAAGTTTTAGAATTTAATTACACTTTTATAACGAATTTAGGACTCAACTGTACTTTTATGAAAAGTTTTAGTACTTTTTTCCCTAAAAATTAAGTTTCCGTCAGATTATGGGCCTGTTTGGTTCAGCTTTTGGGAAATGTATTTGGCAAAATGCAAAGACCTTTGAGCTAGACATGGCCACGGTTCCGGTTCGTGGCCATGGGAGGAATGGAACCGGAACCGCTGTGGGCGGTTCCTGGTCCGATTCGAGGGGGAGGAGGAGAAAAGGGGAGGAGGCGCAGGTAGCGAGGGGGGGAGGAGGAGGGGGCGTCTGCATCGGCGGCTACGGCCATGGGCGGGACGAAGGCTACAGGGTCGGATCCTGGGAAGACGGGGGGCGGGCGGAGGAGAAAAGGGGAGGACCAGAGGAGGCGTAGGGGAGAGGGGGAAAGGAGGGATCGACCATGATGAGGACCTTGCTGTCGGTCCGCGAGAGGAGCTCGGAGGCGAGACCCGAGTCGCAGCGATACGATGCACAGGTCAACACGGTGGCGTCCGCGGTGGCGAGGGGCTAGCCGGTGAGGGAGCCGAAGAGAACGAAGACGGCGTGGACCCCAAGCAAGTTCGGCGCGGAGGAGTTGCCGAGGAAGTGGGTCACGAGCTTGACGCCGATGTAAGGGAGGGAAGGGTGGGAGGACCAAGAGGGCATGAGGAGGAGGGAGGCGGAGGGGGCGGCGGAGAGGGGGTGGGAGTGGCGAGAGGGGTGTGGACGGAGGAGGAGAGGGTGGAGCGGAAGTGACAGATGAGGGACCGGTCACCTGAGTGGGAGAGGAGGCGTGGGAGGACTGGGAGGAGGTGGGTTTTTTTTTTTTTTTGAATCGAACCGGGCCCGTAGGCCACGGGCCTGTTCCGGTCTCAACCGCAGCCGGCCAACGGGCCGGTCCCGGTTCAGGCCAAACCGCCCGTGGCCATGTCTACTTTGAGCTAAAATGGTTTTTCGAAATGCAAGTAGTGTTTGGTAATGTGTATTTTAAAATCACATTTGAAAGCAACTTTGCCCTAAATACCGTTTGGTAAAAATTATTTGTAAAAGACTTTTGCTGATATTTAAAAAAAAAAAAAAAGCTAGCCACCAACCACCACCGCCGGTCAGATCTGGTCGCCGGCCAACCGCCGACTACCAGATCTAGTCGCTCGCCGGCCAGCCTCGCCTGACCTCAGGCGAGGCGGCCTGAGGTCACGCGACCCCCAGGCGATGGTCGCCGGCCATCGGACCAGCTGCTTGGGAAGAGCATGAACAGTACCCGATTACATTCCGAAAATGCAACTTGCCAAGGCTCCTCATGAGCTCCATTCAGCCAAAGGCCCTTGGAAAGCTTTGGAGATGCAATTGCATCTACTCAAAACTTGCCAAAAAATTTGCTAAATAACTTTATATTTACTCAAGGACTTTAGCCCCCCAAAACAACATTCAAATACTGAACCAAACAGGCCATGTAAGGACCAGCAGAGTATAAAAGTTCAAACAGGCTAATCCACCCGTTTCCTTTTCCTTTTTCCGTCAAATAAAAAAATAAAATAAAAAGGAATTAAAAAGCGTCTGCTCCGCCATCGTGGACCCACATGTGTCAGATAGCGACAAATCCACTTTCCGCAATTGGGCTACGTTTTCCACCCCCGCGTCGTCAACATTGCCTCCGTCCCTACATTAAATGCTAATCCCTCCACCCTGCCCTTCCACCACACCCCACGCGCCTCCCTCCTCCGCCGCCTCCGCCTCCTCCGCCGCCGCCAGCCATGTACTCCCCCGCACCTCTCGACCTCGAGATCACGGTCATATCGGCCAAGCACCTGAAGAACGTCAACTGGCGCAACGGCGACCTCAAGCCCTACGCCGCCTTCTCCCTCGACCACGACCCCCACCTCCGCCTCTCCACCCGCCCCGACGACTCCGGCTCCACCCGCCCCGTCTGGAACGAGATCCTCACGATCCCGCTCCCACCCCCCGCCGCCGCCGCCGCCGCATCGCCGCGCGACGCGACCCTCACCGTCGAGGTCTTCCACTCCAAGCCCTCCGAGACCCCCAAACCCTTGGTCGGCTCTTCGAGGTTCGCCCTCTCTCAGCTGATCGACTCGGACGGCGACGCCCCTAGGGTTTACGCGCTCGACCTCTATCGCCCTTCTGGTCGGCCGCAGGGGAAGCTCCGCGTGAAGCTCGCCGTCCGAGAGCGGCCTCGTCCTCCTCCGCCGCCGCCGCCGCCTCGGTATCACGACTTTGCCCCGGAGGATCGCGGTAATTACTTCACTCCACCTGCTTTTTCGCAATTCAATAACTCGGTTCCGTGGTCTGGCTATTCTTATGGCCACTATTATTATGCTCGGCCTCCGCCGCCGCCGCAAGCCCCGCCGATGCGGCCTTTCTCTGATCACGCCTCGAATTATGGAGCTCCAAGTGTCCCTTCAGCTCCAATTGATTTCTCCTCTTATGCTGTCGATCATAAGCTGAAGGTGCCCAGCGGTTCCAGTTCCCCATATTGCCCGTCCGCCCCAGTCGATTTTTCCTATCCTGTGCAAGAGCAGCATCGGCGGATTCCTCCGCCTCGCTGGGTTTCCGATCACATCACGTCGGCTCCTGGTGAGTCCTTGAGCAGTGAGCATATGATTCCTACGCCACGCTGGATCTTCAATCACAGGGCATCAGCTCCTGTCTATCCCGCATCGTCAAACAGCCACAGCTCGGACAATGTTGTCCCAAACGAGCCTGCAGCACCATTTGATTCTTCACGGTCTGAGCGGAGGCCCTTGCCACGCTATGAAGATGTTGCTAGTGCATTGGGAGGGTTGAATTTGGAGGAAGGAAACGCCCACAAGACTGATCATGCGGTGAGGAATGCTCCCGTCTATGGCCATTACCAAAGTGGTTGTTGAAGCACCTTGATGCCTGGGGTTTTTGAGCTCTACAAAGAGGGTAAATGTGGCTAATAAGATAAGCTCTGATATGTAGATTCTCGTAATATACTTGTGTATATGCTGTCATATTCTGTATGAAGCTGCCACCCGACTTTATTTACATATTGTTTGGCTTTGTTTTCTCCTACATTGTTCTACTTGAAGCTCCAAGGCACGATGAAAGTATGCATCTTTAATGAAATACTATGCTATTGCCCTGCACTTTCTTTAGGATGCTATTCTGTGATATGTGAAATGGTTAGTTCCAATTGCTTGTTTGGAGAAAGGTGTGATTGTGGCACACTCGTATTGATGCGCAGATTGATTGATGTGCTTGAGATTTGTGGTGCTAATTTAGAGAGTTTTACTGTTTCAACTGTAACAAACCTTGGGGTCACCAGGCTTATCCCCTTGCCTTAATGTGGGTTACCTTGGCCTTGGTTTTAATAGCTTGACGCGAACCAATCCCCTTACCTACATCACTGTATGTTATGGTTTCGTTATTCGTTGAAATTCCTATTGCAGATTTTTGGTCCATTTGGAAAGAATTGAATAAGAGAGCCTTAGAAGGAGAGGAGTCTCTTGTTTCCGTATTTACTAAAAATTGCTTCGAACTTTTACAGTTTTTGGTGGAGCAGAAAATTCTTTGTGGATGTATATGAATTGATTGACATTGGAGACACAGTGTTGTAAAAGAATTCTGTGTTTGTCCCTGATCTCTTTTTTAATATGCGTGTAGAACCCTGCTGCCTTTATTAAATGTTTCTTCATATTTACTTAGGAAAATCAATGAGTTTCTTAGGCTTAAAGATAGAAGTTTATTGTCTGTCAAAATCCCTAAAGACTGAAAGAATGAACAGTGGGTTCTTGGCCAAAACCCGAGATCGGAATAGTTGGTAAAATTCTATGTTGAAGCTAGATTTTCTGGAGGGAAAACTGAGTTACCGCCAGGAAGGGAGGGGGGTATTTAGTCTTTTAGGACCAAGATTGAAGAAACCAGACTGAATTCTGGAGAAAGATTGACATGCGATTTTGATTGAACTTCCTGTAAAGATTACCAATGTGATCGTATCTGGGGATGAAATGAAAGCTGTGGAATACTGCAAGGAAGAAAGGGACTTTCGGTCATGCTGTTTAAAGTGTTTGGAGCAGGATATGCGTCCACTATGCTTGGACATGAAATAGAAAGGTGCAGGAATCCACACAAAAATTGAAGTGGAGAATTCCAATCTCTCCTAGAGTAACAAAAAGATATAGTCTAGGAGGAACTGATACATTTGTTTGACAGAGAAACCGCCTACTTAGTAGTTTTTTTCTTCTGTCTTGAAGTCTGTAGCACAGCAGACTCCTGCAATCTACTCTCTTAAAGATCGAAGAAATACTGGAGAAACCGTAATTACAAGGAGTTTAGTTGTTGCTTGTCAATTAAATGAAGTCGATGATGTAGTGGCTTGTCATTGCACGATCAACCATTTCATATCTTTGCGTTGCTCTGTACATCAACCAAATAGATGGCTGAAACAGCCCCCATGCTTAACGATAGGCTGCAAAAGCCTCTATATCGGCAGCTATTACAACAGCAGACGATATTTCTGAGTTACTTGAGAAAAAAGATGGCCGAAGTATCGGTGATCTTTCCCCTTGAATGGGGATAGAGTCTCAGGACCTGATAGCTCTTCTGTTTCCGTCTATACTTCTGTGCTTTGTCTGTCATTGGAGAAGATCCTTGTGCAGCTATAGCTGATTTTTTTTTCTCTTCATCCAAGCTTTCTGCAAAAGATCGATGCAGCTGCTATTACGCATGTGCCTAAATCTTCGCGTGCATCCACAATGTCCGAGTTCGGACCAATTACTCATTGTATTAGAGACGAGTGTATAACTGAGATCTTGGCTAATAGACAGTCAAATTCTGAGCTTAAGAGAATCAGCGTATAAAAGATAAGAAGGGGAAGAAGAGGTGATTCCGTGATTGGTGTCAATCCTTACACAGCTGCTAAGAAAGAAAATCAAAGAAGATGATTCCACCTTGAACTGGTCCGGGAACCGATCACTCCTACTAGAAACAATGCATTTGTCATAGCCAATGAAACGGGCACAGTCGCCATCTGTTCTAAAAGGAAATTGTGTCCTACTAGAAACAATGCATTTGTCATAGCCAATGAAACGGGCACAGTCGCCATCTGTTCTAAAAGGAAATTGTGCCCATCTTGAAACGGCATAGTTTTTGGAAAAATTGTTCAAATAAGCTTATTACATTTTTGTCAATTCGGTTTTAAACCTCTCGATTTTGTCAATTGACCGATAAATCTTGTCACATTTTGGCAATTGAGTATGATTTATGACAATTGTCTTTTTTATTTTGGTTGGGAAATTAGGTGAGTTACCTCCCGGATGCTTGAAACATTCGACTGATGACACGTGGCGACAGGGCCCACCGGTCAGATTGCAGCGTTCATAAATAATTTTTAATAATATTTTAATATTTTTTCGAATTTTTATAAATTTTTCTGATTTTGTTTCAAGACCATGGACGACGCTCGCGCTTGAATTGCAGTGTCACCAGCCAACCATTGACGACCGCTCACGAGCACGCCGACGCTCATCCATGGCCGTTGTCTGCATCATTCGGGCATGCTATTTTTTTCCTTGGGTATCCATCTTTCCCATCCACCATGGACGACGCTCGCGGCCAGCCATGGACGACGCTCATCCATGTTCATGGTCGTCGTTGGCATCGAGCAACGCCGGACGGGACGGCTCGATCTGGAAGTTTGGCCAGATCTGGAGCCATGGCCGCTCGTCGCTCGCGGCCACAATGCAGAGATTATGGCCCCAAAAATAAAAGAAGAAACAAAAATGAAGTTCTACTTCTGCATTGTGTGTCCATAATGGCGGTGGTGTGCTTCTGGTATGTGTACCAGAAGAAGAAGAAGATGGTGAAAAGTGGGTGAGACGGAGAGGTTAACGGCCGGGAGATAATGTGCAGGAGAGAAGTAACGGAGAAGAGAGAGACAGATGGGAGAGAGTAAAAGTTTATAGTGGGACCCACCTTGCCACGTGGCATTTATTGGATGGAGTGTTATACCATCCCACGTGGCATATTCAACTCACCTAATATTTTCTCATTGTTTGGGCCTTAACACTTGGAAGTGGACTGCCCCGACTGCCCACACCAAGCCCAACCCACCCACCACCCAACACAAGAAAGCGAGATGGTGCGACGCGCACAGAGAGAGAGGGGGACAGAATGAATTCACCGCAGCTGCCACTTGGTCGGACGCGCGTGTTGTCTCCCTCCGAATCGGAGAAATCTCCGGCCGATAGCCATCCCGTCGGCGGCGGCGGCGGCGGCTTGGAAGCCTCTCTGGTCGGCCTAACCCACCATCACCACCGCCGGTCGGTCGCCCTCCGAGACCGCGCTGAGAAAGCCAAGAGAGACGCGATCAGGAGCGCGGTGGCGGCGTCGGATCTGCTGGTGGAGGCGGTGAACGGAGGGGTGGAGGATGCCTTCGTCAACCAGAAGCGCATCGAGCTCGAGACTCGAGCTTTGGCCGCCACCGTCTCCCGCTTCGCGAAGCAGACCGATCACTGGCTCGCCTCCACTCGTCCTCTTAACTCCGCCATCAAGGTCTTTTCATGCCCTTGGCAAGTTTAGATTGCTTTACCAAACTAAAGCGAACGAACATGTCTTGATATGTTGTTAGTAATATTCGCGGCACAGGAAATTGGGGACTTCGAGAACTGGATGAAGATAATGGATTTCGATTGCAAGAGCATCAATGCAGCCATCCGCAACATTCATCAAGCTTGATTTCCAGCACTCGGAAATGGGATCCATCCCCATTCTCTCTATTCGCCTGTCGTCATCTATCCACACATTTTGTTAGGGAAAGACGACTTCTTTTCTTTTGGGTGATGCCGGAGGTGCTAGAGTCAGCTGGGACCAAATGCGCCCTCCTAAGCAGGAAGGTGTACCTGGCTGGCATTAGGAAATTTGATCTTTGAGATATTGCTTGTAGATTGAAATATGCATGGAAGCTATAGTTAAAGTCTGGTTCTCTTTGGAACGCTGGCTCTGCAGTTATCCTTCCAGTCAGGATAGTTTCTGGGCTAATAAAGCCGGAACGAACTCTGCTACTGCATGGAGGGAGTCAAGAAAAGCTCGCGAATGTGCTGAAACCTCGTATTGTACACTTCATTGGAATGGTAAGTCGACATACTTGTGGAATGACAATTGGCACACCTCGCGGTGTCTTGTTGGAGGCTTATTCTTGAAGAGTTCTTTACGACGTGACGCTCTACCTTCTAATGCTAAAAGTAGCTGAGATTATTCAAGGCAGTGACTGGCATTGGTTTGATGTTAGATGGGATGATTTGGTAGCTATCCAAGCTGCTCTATGTGGCCCTTTGACTCCTAGCTCTGTTATTGATAATGGAGTATTGTGTACTGTTTCTAACTGTGGCACTTTGCATTCTGCTACTGCTTGGAATCTTGTGAGATAGAAAGGTATTTAAGTGGACTGGCATAGGTTGATCTGGTTCTTCCCTAATGTACCTAAGTTTGCTGTGGTTTCCCGGATGGCTCTCTTGAATAGGCTTCCAACTTTGGACAGCATTGATGCTTGGGCATCGACCTCGGCTACATCTCCCGTGTGCTTCTTATGTATTCAGGCTGATGAAAACCGAGATCATCGTTTTTGGCCTGCAGCTTCTCTTCCCAGGTTTGGAAGAAGCTTTTATTGCCATGCTCTGTTGGTCGAATGCCTGGTAATTGGGCTACTGTTTGAACCTAGCCTAGATTGTGTGTGGAGTAAGGAGGGGGAGCTGAGATTGCAGAGATGTACTTGCTAAGGTTCGGTATGGACTGCAAAAGAAGGGAACACATCAATAATACGATCTTGTGCTTCCTAAATTGATCAACAGTCGGACCAGTTAACCGAGAACCAATCCAAGTTTTTCTGTCTCTCCTTTTGAATGTTAATCCAAATTCTAGACTTCCATATTCTTTATGTTTTGTGGTTTGGTATATATTGTCTACATGATCATCGTGATCGATCCACCAGCTAAATCATCTTTGGCGAAACATTTTCATTGAATTGGTGATAACTTGAGTGGATCAGAGTTTTTTTTTGTAGTGCTTTTGTTACGGGGGGACTAGGCTTTTGCCCAAAAGTCCGGAAGATCTAACTGCTTATGTGAAGGGCAAAAGCCCGGGAGATCTAGCTGCTTATGTGAAGTTTATGGATTGCAATTTTTTTGGGCCCAAAAACTAATTCGATTGAAATAAGTAAAGACAGGCGCAAGCCGAAGTTTTAGGATTCTGTCCGAGCGACGAGTGAGCATAGCTCGACTTTTTTTTTTTGGAAAGAGTAGCTAATTTTGCTGGTTGATTTATGAAAGGACTAAAACTAGCTGCTGCTGGAGCCGCTGGCTCTGATTTGTTGATTCAAGATATTGGTCTACGATTGCACCAAATGGGATTGTTTGCTCTTATTTTTTTTTTTAAGAATCTCTCTCTCTCTCATACATAGCTCAAGACATCACGTACCGTTGAGTTGCTGCCTCGAGGCCGGCCTCCATGCAGTAGCCTGAGCTACCGTCGACGCCCGAGCTGCCCTTCACGCCTCTCCCTATGCCCTTGTCTCTACTTGTGCATCGTGGCAGGTGTCAAGCTCATGGACGCCACAACCCATGCCATGTGGGCCTCGTGCTCACGAGGGCCACGACTAGCCCCAGAGCATTGCCATGGTTGTGAGAGCTCTGCTTCGGAGTCCGGCCATATATGATATGAATCACGAGCTGTCCCACAATATCATAATCCGATGAATCAGCCCGGATCGGTTTATTTATCCGTGCGTCCACCGTGAGAGGGGCTGATTGGGATGGAATGGGTATTGGTCATTTCATTATTAAGAAAATATTCCAGTATCTATATTTAGTTATTCGGAAGTCAGTTTGTGCGTGAAACAAAGTGGAGGTCTAAATCAACTGATGTAGAAGCTCTACACCTCTATCTTCTTTATCACCGAGTGGTCATTCCTTTTCACAGGGACTGAGAGATTGGATCGAGAACCATGCATGAGACATTTATCTCGCATGGCTTGGTCATTGAACCCAAATACATTATCCACGACGGAAGTAAACATTGGATAGGTTCGATCTATGGTCATTGAGTCCACCTAAAAAGATCAACAAATCTATCGTTTTGTTAGGATGCCTTAGCTGCATTCAATCATCTTCCCCGGTACTTATAAAAAGCGAGCCATCGTGGCCACGCGAAAAGACAAAAAAAAAAAGGAAAAGTTGAAGGGAGAAGGAGGAGGGAAGGCGAAAGAGTCTTGGCAATGAAAAAGAAAAAAAGAGGAGACATAAAAGGTGGCCGAAACGGGGAGAACTGGCCGAAACGGGGAGACTGGCTCCAGCGGTTCCAATTTTTTATTTTACTTTTCATGGCTTCCTATTTCTTAACTTAACTTAGTTAGATTAGAGGATTTAAAAAGGCCCAAGAAGCACTAATTTGAAAGGGAAATCTCACAAATCCTAGGTAGTGTAACTTTTTTTTTTTAATATGAAGAATGAAAAAATAAATTAAATACCGAAATATAGATAATCACAAGTAAAATATTTTTACTAACTAAAAATAGCTAGTATAATCTATTATATTTTAAAGATGAAAACAATACTTAAAATGTTGGCTTTACAACTGATAACGAAATCGTCGCGCAAATGAAATGACTCCTCATTCTTTTTGCTCAAACAAATTGCTCTAGAAAAAATCAAAGACTAGTGATATTGATTATGCATAAAAACAGATGAATTAAAGAAAATATCAAAATATGAATAATAATTTAGATGACAAAAAAATAACCCCATTCATTCAAATCTAGTAGATGAAGATGTGCAAGCACCTAAAACATTACGATATCAATCTTAGGATCACATAAGTCAAAGCTGGAGCTAAAAAAAATTTGATCGAATTCCATACAAATCTTACCTAATATAGCTCCAACTTTTGATTCATTGAGAAGATTCACGTGACCATGTCACACATGACCCTATATCATGTCATATAGATAAAAAGTCAATTTATATTAAAGTATTTTATTTCAAAACAAAATAACAAAAAGTACCGCTAATGATAGAAAATCCACGATTCTTCTTTCATTGCAAATTAGATCTTGAATTTATATATATAACGTGTATATATTTATAATATGTATATATATTAATGGATACCAACTAAAATTCGACGTCAACAAATATCTCTTATTTTTTTTTGCAATAAAAGAAACAGAGAGTAAATAAACCTTTATCCATGGTTATGTGTTCATCGGTCTCAAATCCTAAAATAATCGGATGTGTAAAGTATATTTGATATTCACGTTCTTATTGTTTTGAGTTTTTTTTTATTTGGATGAAAATATTGTTTTGAGTTATTAAGTTTATTTTATTTGAAAACAATATCCTCAAATCTTTTCTTTGGCTTGAAAATAATATCTACTATATTAAAAGTTGCAATTTAAAACTTTTGAGTCTACTTCAATCCTTTCTTTGGTGGAATAGTATCCCCTTACTGGGGATCTGTAAGATTTCTCTTTCAGACCGGTGGAACATGACCCCCTGTTTCGTCCACAAAAAGGTGTGCCTGACGTTACTTAATCATTTTCCTAGAAAATCGCTCATCACAAGTCCACATGGTCAAGAAAGGTCTACTAATTCTTTATACTTTCCCCAAAGAAAAATCAGTGCAGACTTTTGCTGGGATCGCTTCCTGCTCTTCTCCTTCTCACGCACGTTTGGGTTCTCTCCCTCACATCTGACGCCATTTTCCCATTGCCGGTGAACCGTCTCTAACCACTGAACTCTCTCTCTCTCTCTCTCTCTCTATAGATTGTACAGCAAGACTTGCCAAGAAAAGAGGCAAGACTTGCCAAGAAAAGAGATGCCCTTAATTTTGTTGGGTACGTGGAGCAAGAAGTCTTCCACTGTAGGTTTTAGCTGTGTATTGTTGGCCCTTTGATTAGGTGGTCGACAGGTTCAAGCCAAGTTAGCACTGCACACCACATTTACTCGTGCAGCAGCTGCTTAGACAGATGATCTGAAACCCAAACCCACAGATTACGTGTCCACAGGCCCTGGATTTATCTAATCCCCGTGTCCTAAGAAAGCAATTGAAGCGACATCTTAACAATTGTGAAAATGACTGCTATAGGTAAACAGCAACAGCGCGGAAAGATAAAAAAAGGAGGAGGAAGAAGAAGGAAGAGCAGTATGAAGCTGGAGTCTAAATGATAGACTCCCCAATCCCGTTCGGGTGAGCATACTGCTTTACCTCCCCAAAAAAAGAAAAGGTGGATTCGGCTAATAAGTAATAACAAAGAGCGTGAGGTGATTTCAAAGTGACATTGATGTCTGACCATATTTTTCACATTAGCAATGTGCTAAACACATTCTAACGTTTTCCCATGTCTCTCTCTCTGTATATATTCCTTTTAATCACGCATGAAAGTCGTACAACTCCGAATTTACGGTGACATGTGAATTGCTTATATAGGCTGAAGCTGTCGAATGACCAATTTTATTATCGCTTCGATAAACAAACACTAGATACCAAAACTATTTCATCGTATTTATTTGCTAGATAACGTGATAAGTTACGAACAAGTTTAAGATTAAAAAAAGGGGCGTCTATGTGGCATTTTATATTGTATGTGTTCTCAAAGCTAAATTTTTCTCTAATTGACTTCTCAGTTCCAATCATTCGCAGCTGCCATGTAACTGCAAATATTGGTGGCAACCCTAATGGTGCGCAAAATTTCACTATTTATGAGTTGATGCACCAAAATCACACTCCATCAACTCAATTAAAAAAATACATAAATGACCCTAATTTCACGATGTACCCTTGCAACTACTCAGGCGACTCCGTGCATGACTCAAACCCCATAAAAATTTTCAGGGAAGCTTTCTTGCATTCACTGCTTTCACTTGGTTCCTATCAACCCCTGCGACTCAAAAGATTTTTCCTAACAACTCCTCCTACATCTTCCTCACGTATATCCCAACGATATATTGACAACAACTCAACACCTTCTCTCTCGTATTCACTAGTGACCCTCGGTCCACACACCACACCATGGAAACATCATTCCTCCTCTTCAACTTGGCAGCACTTACTTGTGCCTACCTGATTTGGTTCTATCTCTTGGTCAGGAAACTCACCGGCCCAAAGGCGTGGCCGGTCGTGGGCAGCCTGCCGGCCCTCTTTGCGAACCGGAGGAGGCTCCACGACTGGATCGCCGGCCACCTCCGGGCCACCGGCGGCGCCGCCACCTACCAGACGTGCACCATCGCCCTCCCTTTCTTGGCCCGCAAGCAAGGGTTCTACACCGTCACGTGCCACCCGAAGAACATCGAGCATGTGCTTCGGACGCGGTTCGACAACTACCCTAAGGGCCCCACGTGGCAGACTGCCTTCCACGACCTGCTCGGCCAGGGGATTTTCAACAGCGACGGCGAGACTTGGCTCCTGCAGCGCAAGACGGCGGCCCTCGAGTTCACGACCCGGACGCTGAGGCAGGCCATGGACCGGTGGGTGAACCGGACTATCAAGAACCGGTTCTGGAAGATCCTCGACAAGGCCGCGAGCGAGCGCATCCCTGTCGACTTGCAAGACCTCTTGCTTCGCTTGACGTTCGACAACATCTGCGGGCTCACATTCGGGAAAGACCCGGAGACCCTCTCGCCGGAGTTACCAGAAAACCCTTTCGCTATGGCTTTCGACACGGCTACCGAAGCCACCCTTCAGCGCCTGCTCTATCCCGGTTTTCTATGGAGGCTCAAGAAGATATTCGGTGTCGGAGCGGAGCAGCGGTTAAAGAAGAGCCTCCAGGTCGTCGAGAACTACATGAACGATGCCATCAACGCGCGCAAAGCGACTCCCTCTGACGACCTCCTTTCGCGCTTCCTGAAAAAGCGGGACGTCGATGGCAACCTCTTCCAAAGCTCCGTCCTCCAGCGGATCGCGTTGAACTTCGTCCTCGCGGGGCGCGACACGTCATCCGTTGCACTGAGCTGGTTTTTCTGGCTCGTCATGAACGACCCGCGAGTCGAGCGGAAGATCGTGCACGAGATAGCAAGGGTCCTCAAGGACACCCGCGGCGACGATCACATGAAATGGCTGGAATCGCCGCTGGTGTTCGACGAGGCCGACAGGCTGGTCTATCTCAAGGCGGCGCTCGCCGAGACGCTGCGCCTATACCCCTCGGTGCCGGAGGACTTCAAGTACGTGGTCGCGGACGACGTCCTGCCCGACGGGACCCACGTGCCGGCCGGATCGACGGTCACGTACTCGATATACTCTGTGGGGAGGACGAAGTCGATATGGGGCGAGGACTGCATGGAGTTCAGGCCGGAGCGATGGCTCTCGGAGAGCGAGGGCCAGTTTGAGATGCCGAAAGACGGGTACAAGTTCGTGGCCTTCAACGCGGGGCCGAGGACCTGCTTGGGGAAGGACCTGGCCTACCTCCAGATGAAGTCCGTGGCGTCGGCGGTGCTCCTCCGCTACCGGCTGTCGCTGGTGCCGGGTCACCGCGTGGAGCAGAAGATGTCGCTCACGCTGTTCATGAAGAACGGGCTTCGCGTCAATCTGCATCCGCGGGATCTTGCAGAGTCCGCATGATGAAGATATAAGCAAAGGAAGATGATCAATAGGTGTTGCGATCGAGAAAGAGTGTGTGCATTGGTCTTAAGGATTAGTGTGCATGATGGGGACGATGATGCATGTAATCGGTTTATTTTCTTGTAATGAGTTTGTATTTGTCTTACCTGAAAAAAAAGTGAAATATATATAAATATAAAACCATTTATTTGTTATGCTTTTATATACTCAGAAATTCTAGCTTCGTTTAACGGATAAATCGTAAATCTGTGCGCAACTCGTTGAAAATGTTTGTCTTCACACAAATCCGTGTCCTAATTCTGAATGTCATCCGTTTAATGAGAGAGATATTTTAACGGAAAAAAAAAAGAAATTAGTGATTTCATAATTTCAATAAAAGTGAGTAAATTATATAAAAAGTTTGGTAATTGAAATTTGACCAAATAAGTGTTAGTAAACGAGTCAACTAAGAGTTTTTTTTTTTTGGCTAAAATCGAGTCAACTAAGAGTTGTAACATGAATACAAGCGGAAACTCGATGGAAAAGTTGGTAATTTGATTTCTATAAAGTTGGTAACTTCAACGCCTTGAATTTCAGTAGATAGAAGTTGGTAATTTTGTTGGAACCGTTTGCAATGAGCAAACAACTAAACAAAAATTGACAATTTAATATTAAAAGTTGAATCAAATATATATATAGATGAAGCAGTTTTATAATTGGTATAATAATACAAACAGTCCTTGAATTTTTATCAAATGTGTAATATGGTCCATGAACTTTTAATCTGTTCAATGTAGTCCTTGAACTCTAGCCTAATATGTTCAATATGGTTCATGAACTTTTTTGGTACATGTTCAATGTATTTTTTGAATTGCATGAAAATGTTCAATGTAATCTTTGAACTTGAATTAATGGAAGGATTACACTGAATATTTTCATATAGTTTTAGGACTAGATTAAACATGTACAAAAAGTTCAAGTGCAACATTGAACAAATTAAAAGTTCAGGGATCACATTGCATATTGAACTAAAGTTCAGGGACCGTCCGCGTCATTTTCCTTTCAAAATTTTACAAATCCTTTTCTTTTTCTTCTCAAATTTTTTGAAGGGATCATAGATTGGGAGGGATATGAACTCCCCATTTCGTAAATTTTTGTTTTTTGAAAAAGTGAAAAAACAAAAGCAAAGATTTTTTTTTGAGCCAAAAACACAGGTAAAGATTTAAAAAGGAAGGGTTTAGGTCAGCGACAGTCAAGAAGTCTGAAAGAGTGATTTTAAAAGCAAATAGCCTGAAGGCGTACTGGCGCGAAACGAAGCGGTCGCGCTCATTCCTTCCCGCGAAAACGAACCGAGGCTATATCATCCCCCCCCGCATTCCTGTCCGTCCTCCCTCAAATCCCGAGAAACCCTACCGATTCGCCGTTTGATTCCTGAGCAATCCTCACGCACGATGCCTTCCATCGTCAAACGAGGTGGCTCCCCGATCTCGGCCGCTGACGCGGTGGCTCTCCCGGAGCCTCTCGCCGGATCCGGCGGCGATTCTACTCCTCAGAAGCGGAAGCTCAGATCCGATGCGCTGGCGGCTCTCCGCGATGACGGAGCCGCCGATCCGGCGAGGAGAGTGTCGCCTCGCCGGTGCCTGAATCAGAGCCCGAATACTCCTCCAAAAGTGAGTGAGAGCTCGGGCTTCTCTTTGTACTCTGCAGTTTTGCCGTTGTTGGAGTCAGCGTCGCCGTTGGTTCGTTGCCACAACCGAATGGATACTGAATTGCTGATGGCGAGATCGCGTTCTTAGATTCCGTACTCGTCGAATTGATTGTGCGTTTATTGCGACCACTTAGGAAGTGGAAAGGCGATTTAGATAGCGGATCGGTTGTGGCGAATTCGATACCGTGTCATCTAAGGAAAATCACGTAGTTATGCCATTATGTAAGATTCAATTGATTAGGATCAGCCATAGATTTTGTACTATTTCTGCGTTTACACTGTATTGAGGTTCGGTCATGCAAATTTTGGTGCACGCCTTACTAGGAAGTTTGGAAATTCCATTGGTTTTGCTAATCTAAAATTATCCGCAGAGAATTGAGAAAGTGGTTGCCGATAAGCCCATGAAACCGAATAGATCGCCGGCTAAAAGATTGCCTGATAGTCTTGTCGCCGATAGCAAATGGAATCCAAGAGGCAAGTAGAACCTATCATGATACATTGAACACAATAGCAGCACAGACTTTAATTGCGACGAAGGAAATTAATGTTTATGTAATGTGACGATAGATCCTCAGCAGATGAGTGCGGCGAAGGAAGCGCTTCATGTGTCGACGCTGCCACCATCTGTCTCTTGCCGAGAAAATGAACAAAAGACGATTGTGGATTTTTGCAAGGGATGCATCAAGCAGGGCAAAGCCGGCAGCCTATACATCTGTGGATGCCCTGGGACCGGAAAGTCCTTATCCATGGAAAAAGTGAAGGGGCTCTTATGGCATTGGACGCAGGAGGTTAGCTTTTCATTCTTTACTGCCTGATGAAGCTGTGGTTATATTTATTATCCCTGTCTGTGTATAGGATCCCAAGAACCACCATTCATCATTTTAGATAAGAAGATATGATATACTTTGGTACAGCTATCGTAAGTTAAACACCTTCCTTTAATAGGAAGGACATGCTTCATAGATGATGAAAATGTCTCAGTGCTTCCCAAAAGGACCTCGATGTTATTTGTGCTCATATTTCCTTGAAAGTTATTAATCAATTACGTCTTCCACAAGGTTAGTTTCATAATTGAGAAGTTACCTTTATTGAATATCAGCATGTAGAATTCAGATTTCCGAAGTAGATTATAGGAGGAGTTTTTTGTGCTCATCTTAGAAATTGATCGAGTCAATTTTATCTTTTGACTTGTTTGCTAGTAGAATTCAGAAACAGAAGTCACAATGGTTTCTGATTTCTTCTAATATATCTCACAACTTTTGATCTGTTTGGGATCTCTCTTTACAAAAATGCTTCGAATGTTTCCAGGCAGGTCTTCAGCAGCCAGAAGTTTTAGCTTTAAACTGCACTTCTTTATCCAGCACATCAGAGATCTTTGGCAGGGTACTTATAATGGAACAGCATGTACTTTTGCATGTTAGACACTGCACATCCTTACCTGCCATGTTTGCTGACAGATATTATCCAAGTACCAATTGCCGAAAATGACAAATGATCGTACCTCAGCTTTGCAACTGCTTCAGAAATTATATTCGGAGAAGCAACAATCCACAAAGATGATGTAAGGAGTAATTTCATCGACTGTACTTACAAACACTTCGCACCATAAGGCAATATTGGCCCAAAGTCATGTAGAGATCCTGATACGGTTCAACATGTTGCAAGAAGATGCTAATTCTTTTAAGTTGCTCACATTTATGGCAGTAGGAGTATATGAGTCTATGCTTCTACTGAACTAATTTTTCCTCCTGCAGGCTAATTATTGCAGACGAGTTGGATTATTTGATCACAAAAGACCGTGCTGTGCTTCATGATCTTTTTATGCTTACCACTTTCCCGTTCTCTAAATGTATATTAGTAGGTACTTATCGTTGCTCGCTATATCTCTTGGATACTATATCTTTACTTTCTTTTTATGGTCGTATAAAGCAATATGCTACATGCAATTTGACATCAGTTTTGCCGTATTCCTGCTTGCAGGAGTAGCAAATGCTATAGACTTGGCAGATCGTTTTCTACCCAGGCTTCAATCCTTAAATTGTGAGCCATCTTTTCTTGACTTGAAAAGATACAAATGTTTGTCTTGATAGAATTTATATTTTACTTCTTGCTTATCCTAAATTTTGCGGCTCACGCGCTTTCATTTTCTTTAAATCTAAAATACTCGAAGCTTTCACAACATATAAATATCAACACACATATTCACATGCAATTCCTTCAAAAAAATTTCAAATTTCGAATGATATTCTCAATTTTGGCAGGAAGCAAAAGTTACTTTTTGCTTTTGCTGAATCTCAAACAAACAAGCTCTTAGTGTTTCTCTGATCTGGATATAACGCTTACTCCTGTCTCTGTCTTTTCATTCCTGTTAGGCAAGCCTACCATTGTAACTTTTCGGGCTTACTCCCCAGAGCAGATCATCAGGATTCTTCAAGAGAGACTCAAGGTAGTTATGCGCTTTGCCCTATTAGTATCTTTCTCGTGTTCTCAGTACCATGCAACATCTGAATACTAAACCCTGAATCTGTTGCCTTTTTGAATTTGAGTATAAGGGTTATTTGAACTTCAATATCATGATGCCTAATCTACCTCCACGTGTCATTTCACGAGACGTGTCGTCTTCTTTTTCCATTTTTCCTTCAATTGAAGATTTGGGGGCTGTGAAAATGGGACATTTTACCTATCACCTTGAAACTTACAGGTCAAGTTCAAACAAATTTTTTCTTAAGGGAGACAAATTCTGGAGGAATTCTTTTTAAGGACTTTAATGAGTAGACTTTGCTGAAATCACAATATTGTAATTAAGAGCCATTGATGTTTATGGCTGTTCGTTTGACAGGTGCTCCCTTATCCTGTCTTTCAACCACATGCCCTGGAACTCTGTGCCAGAGTGAGTCCAATAGTAATTTTTTTCCTCCTGAGTATGAAACTTTTGCATCATGTCCACTGTTTCCTTAATTATTTGTATTTATGGATACTGAGCGAAAGAGAAATAACAGAAAGTTGCAGCCGCATCTGGAGACATGCGGAAAGCTCTTTGTATTTGCAGGTTTGTAACTTAACACAAGACAAGTTCACTTGTTACCTATACTAGATTGTTAGATTTGCCAGCATTCATGCCATGATTTCTTCCTGTTACTGTATTTTTTAAGAGCATAACCATTGATATTATTATTAGAAATGCAGAAATAGATACTCTTTGTGAGCTCTATATCTGAGAAACAAAAGCCTCCATACAGTAGTCATCACTGTAGGAATTACTACTCTTTAATGAGGATTTTTTTCCTTGTTTTGGCAAATTGACTTCTCAGTCTGTCAACTTCTCCGCTTCGCCAGTGAAGGAATTTACCAGTTATTGCAATAGATTATATGATTTCTGATATAAGTTGTCTCCATCCCATAAGCAGTAATTGAAGTTAGGTATTGTTGCAGGGGTGCAATTGATATGCTAGAGGCGGAGCTTCAAGAGTCAACAAGGAACCCATATTTGTCAATGCATAATGAGGACAAGGGTCAGCAAGCAGTCACAGTGCCTGAATTCACAAAACTGCAAGAAATAGTTGCTGTAAGTGTCTGCTGTAGTGGCTTCGCATTCCTCTTCCAAGCTGTGACCTCTCTAATTGGCTCCAGTCATACATACCCATTAAAATGAAGGAAGGCCTTTTGACATCTGCCAATTGATGGCAAGTGTTTCAGAAAGAGATTTCCTTCTGCATATCTGAATTAGGATTATGTTCATCAAAAGTATCATTCTCTCGTCAGCCACTCAGACACATTAAAACCATTGGGAGTTGTCCTACGATTAGCTCGTTCATAAAATTGTTGTAATGCAACTCAACTGATAATATATATAAACTGTAAGAACATCAAGCAGATAAACTTTAGCAGAAAAACTAAGTAATATGTGCAACTGGAAAGTATGCCGTAATACTCTTCATGAAGATTTTGCCATCTTTAGAATTAGTTTATCAAATGCAGTGGTTTTAATTTGTCTTTATTGAAGCATTTTGTCTGTCTAGAGAGTGGAAATGTACCCGTATCAGATTTACTTTTATAATTGTTGCGATGTCATTTTATCATCTTTAACTTTTTCAGGTTGAAATACTATATTATCTAAAATTGCTAAAGAATATTTTTGTCCGTCTCCTCTTTAGCCATTTCTGAGTTCTAAAACTTTTGACAGGTCACGATAGATCACATGGTTCTTGCATTATCCAGAACATTCAGATCACCAGTGGTGGACACCATTCAGATTCTTCCCCAACATCAACAGGTATGTTTAAGCGAATATCGAGTAGCATCAAATTATGTTGTATATCTAGCAGCTCGATATACAGGTATAAAAAACGACAGTTTCGTGTATTCTGATGTTTTCAGTGCTTTAGCCATTTATATCCATGGCTTTTCATTGTTTCCTTACTGATCCTTAGCTGGCCACGCTATTAAAACTTTTGTTACTTTCTTAACAACTGGACTGCAGATTATACTTTGTTCTGCTGTGAAACTTTTCCGTGGTCGGCAGAAGGATACAACTGTCGGAGAGGTGCGTCTAAATTTCGACTTCTGACTGCAGAAGTATTTTGTAGTTGCTATTGCTAGCTAACTTGCTATAGAAATACAGTTATACAAAAGTTACCTGGATGTCTGCAAGTCAACACAAATACCTGCAACTGGATTTCTGGAGTTTTCTAGTATGTGCAGAGTCCTTAACGATCAGGTAATATACCATCGCCAAATGCGCAATCTTTTTTTTGTTCTTACCTTGGAGATTGGTTTTTAAAATCAAATACTATCTGCTTAATTGATGGTCATCGCTGATATTGCAGGGTCTTCTCAAAGTAGGTCAATCTCGAGAAGATAAATTACGAAGAATAGCATTAAAAGTCGATGAAGCAGATATTACATTTGCATTGCAGGTATTGGAACAAGATGCTCTCCTCATCATTGTACCTATAGCTTGCTTTCCTGATCATCCTACCTATAGCTTTTTCCTTATGATATCTCCAAAGTCCAACTTTCACAATTTACTATATTCTGAACAGGGAGTTCGTTTCTTCCGAAATTGTCTTCAGTAGTGCTACAAACGGTGGCCACAAACTCATTATTCCTCATCTTGCAACTCAAGGCTCTGTCGCTCTTCACTTATCTGGTCACTCTGATTTTAAGGTTAGCATCAGCTCTTCAGGCTGTGTTACGAGAAACAGAAATTTCTACTAGTCGAGTTATTGGTAGTGATCTTAACATATAGTGTCTATAATTTAGAAATTTGTGTGCACAAGTCACCACTCCTTCAGTCATCTTTTATTCGACGATGAAGTAACTCGTAAATTCTTTGTATTTAAAAATTTTGACAGGTGTCTTCTCTCCCCTTTGAGCATCACTGTTACTAGTGTTTCCACCATTAAGAAGTTCAACGGAAAAGCATCAAGTGGAGCTCGAACAGATTGTGTATATAAGTTATTTCGATAACAGCATCTATAAAAAGCATAAGTTCCCCCCTTCCTGTTAGTGTTTCCATAAAGGCTCACCCATCCAAGAAGCAGAGGCAGAAGAACCTACATACGCAGGCTACTCATAAGAGGTAGCTCCAAGTGCAATGGAAGCAGAAAAGGAAGCCGTGAACTTGTTTCGTCAGTTTCCAAATCAAGCACTTCAGACTCTCTCCTCTGTCCATCAGCTTTGGTTGTCGCCACACACATGAGGCTTGCCGTTTGTCTCTCGAGCTATTCAGTTCTGCATGATTGTATACTAGTCATGATCTACCATTCTGATTGTATACTAGTCATGACCACTTGAGAGCTTCTGGAAGAGCTTCCTGATTCATAATAGTCATGATCTACAGTTCTACATGCAGATTCACCATCAATTGCACTTATGGAAGTGATGCATCAAGCTTCTCAAGTTGTCATATTGTTCTGGGATCTATTGGTTGAATTTAAAACTTTCGATGAGTTTGTTATGTTATAAGAGGTCCCCATGATATTGGTTATATATTTTGATGGAGACTCTCTCTCTCTGTCGCGCGCTCTCTCTCGTGTTGCAAGAGGAAATCCAAGAACGAACAAAAGACACTCTACCATTGATAATTCGTGAGTTTGCTTATCTAAGCATAAATAAAAATTCTAATACTAACACAAATAGTCAGAGCAGAGACTGTTCATGATCATGGAAGGATCATAAGTGAACGAATTTGATGTAGAGTATGGGGGGAAAAGTGTCCCGGTATCAACCATTTGGATTACTTTTCTGCCGCATCATCAGCTAAAGCTAACACTAGCTGGGGTTCAGCTACAATGCCTTCCTGCTTTGCTTTTTTTTACGTTCATGCTGCATCCCTGAAGTACTCTCTTTTGTGCTCTGTAGCTATTCGGGTTCTCGGCTGAGCTTCTCTTGGATATACGCTTACCTTTGACTCAGACAAGAGCAAGAACATGTCAGTCGTATGAACTTCAGCGTCTCTCAAGTGCATAATGTGAAGCTTGTCTTTGAGTCAACCTTCTTATTGGGCCCGAACTTCACACGCTTGACTAGTCCGCCAGTGAGAGAGAAGATGGCGCGGTCCTTGCCTAGTCCAACATTCTTTCCAGGTTGGAACCGAAAGGGTTTCGGAGAGAAATTTAGAGTGCATGATACCAAACGGGAGGGATAAAGACAGTGACTCCTAAACATCGACCCAACACAGGACACTTGCACGAATAAAATGCTAAATGCATAAACAGCTAAAAAGACAAGCGTTGATGTGAAAATAAGACTGAACAAATGAATCCATAACGAAGGAGAAAATTGGCTAACCTCTCAACAGCTCACTTAACAGTTAACAGACATTATTTTTTACGCACCGGCCATTACTTTCCCTCCGGAATGTTCGCTTGGCTCTGATGCAGGAACAACCCAAAGACGCAGTTCTGCAGGTTATCATCCCTCGCAGCCTCTCACAGCATCCCGCAAGCCTCTGATGGCTTCATTAAGAGCATTGTCATACTCGGCACCTGCCTCCGCCTCTTCTGTTCCTTCGGCCTCGGTTATCTCACGAAGATGCACACATTCATGTTGCATTGCCTTCTTGAATGTGCAGTTCTCATGGCTAACAAGACGTTCTGAAGGGCAACCGGCTTTCTTGAGCACTCGAATGGCAGCAATCTTCAAATTGCAATAACAGACATCAGGTCAACGGAGGCAAAACCGGTGCTCGGTCCGGTTCTATGGTTCCGGTTCGGTTCCGCATAGCACAGGTTCCAAAAATTATGGAATCTGGAATCTGACCAAATCCCACAAGAGTCTGAAACTGGTTCGGTTCTGCAATATCCGGTTCTGCCCTGACATCATTTTCACGCCGAGACAAGAAGGGTGCGCATGGAATGCATTCCGGAATAAAAATTCTATTCCGGAATGCGTTCCGGAACAGAATGGCGTTTGTTAAAAAATTTCCGGAATGCATTCTGGAGCGATTTTTGTATTACGGAATAAAAATGCGTTTGTTAAAAATACTTGATTAGAACGCATTTTGATTCCGAAATGCATTTTGATTCGAGAATGAGTTTTTGGCAGAAAAAGAGAAGCTACTTTTTGTAGCTTCTTGATTCCGGAATGCATTCTCCTTATTTTCTCATAAAATTTTTTTTCAAAAAATGCATAAAAATTGAAAAATTCTAGAAAAAATCATAAAAATTTCCAGAAAATAAAAAAAAGTCAGATTTCGGGAAAATATGAAATTTGGTGAATTTTTTTTAAAAAAAATAAAAAAATAAAAAATTTCAAAACTTCACAGAATAGCTTAAAACACATGTGGCCACCCACTTTGAGTGAAATTTAATTTTTTTGAGGTGCCCAAAAAAAATCAAAAATTTCAAAACTTCACAGAATGGCTTAAAATACCTGTGGCTACCTACTTTGAGTGAAATTTATATTTTTTGAGGAACCAAAAAAAAATAAAATAAAATAAAAATTTTCAAAACTTCACAAAATGGCTTAAAATACCTGTGGCCACCCACTTTGAGTGAAATTTAAATTTTTTGAGGTGCCCAAAAAAAATTTAAAAAAATAAAAAATTTTAAAACTTTACAAAATTGCTTAGAATACCTGTAGCCACCCACTTTAAGTAAAATTTAAATTTTTTGAGGTGCCTAAAAAAATAAAATAAATAAAAATAAATAAAATAAATACAAAATTCAAAACGTCACAAAATGACTTAGAATACCTGTGGCCACCCACTTTAAGTGAAATTTAAATTTTTTTAGGTGTCCAAAAAAAAAATTAAAAAAATCAAAAATTTCAAAAATTTACAGAATGCTTTATAATACCTGGCCACCCACTTTGAAGTAAAATTTAAATTTTTTAGGTACAAAAAAATCAACAAATCAAAACAGTTTATTCCGAAATCAATTTCTGAAGTAGAATTAGTCATGTTTTACCAAACAGATTTCTCCTCCAGAAATCAATTTCTGGCAAGAATTCCAGAAATCAATTTTTGGTAAGAATTTGATTTCTGGAACAGAATGGTTACCATTCGCACCCGAAGCCAGCCCAGCCCAAAGTTCCAAACGGTGGGCCCGTAGATGGTGTTCCCACGATCGCCGCCATCAAACACCACGTCACGCCGGACAAGACGAGATCATCAGTCCGTTCGATAACAGCCTCCACACTCTCCACACTGTTGAGTTTTACAGACTTGACTGCACGCGAAACAGCGAGAAAGACTGTACATATATATATAGAGAAAATTCTGCGTGTCCGTTTGAATTCCACGCCTCTCTCGTCTTTTTCTGTTCACTCTCGCTGAAACCGGATGCTGTGAAAGCCTCCCATGGAAACCCTAGCCGTTGCGCCTCCCCAGCTCCCTTCGCTTCCCAGGTTGCGCCCCAATGCGGCCTCCGTTGATTTTGGCGGCGGAGTCTCGAGCTCTCTCGCTCTGCTCAGCTCCCGCTCGCGCTCGCACTCGCGCTGGCGCTTCCCCACTCTGAGATGCTCGGCTCAGCACTCTCCATCATCAGGTCCGTCTTCATTCCTTTCGCGTTCGTGGGAGAAGCAGTTTGTCTATTGCGATCGTTTTTGTATTAGGAAGCTGTAGAGATGAATTCGGGAGCCGACTTGCACGTGCACTGATTGCTTGGGAATCGGTAGGCGGAGGTAATGGAAGAACGTGGTTGCGCACGTGTTTATCTTCTGCCGACGATTTCCGTCGCTGGAAGTGATTGTGAATAGCTGAGAAATGGATCCGTGAGTCGAAACTTGAATGAGCTCGAGCTTTGTTCCTTGAAATGCAAATTTAGGTAGAATGTGACAAGAGGTTTTGGAACTGTGGATCCTTTATGTATGAATTATTAGCAACTGAATTGCTCGACTAATTGAATCCGGTTGACTACTTTACTCTCAAATGAGGTGATCTGCTTATTTGATTTGGCGAAATTAGATAGTGGCTCAGTACTGATAGGTTTTTTCTGCGTAAGGAAAGAGAAATATATTTTTGTTCTGCACTTTGTGATTTTTGACGTTTAATTTCTAGTCGACCAGTCAGCGAAGTTCCAAGAAGCTGCCAAGAAGGGCAATTTGGTTCCCCTATACAGATGTATTTTCTCTGATCACCTCACTCCAGTGCTTGCTTACCGGTGTTTGGTGAAGGAGGATGACAGAGATGCTCCTAGTTTTTTGTTCGAGTCTGTTGAGCCGGGTTTGCAGGTTTCTAGCATTGTAAGTCTTCTTCACTTTTTCTTCAATTCACTTATTCTGATCCACGTAAAATGCACGACCTTTGGATTTTGTTTGCAGTTAGCTATTATCTATGTGAGGAGAGCATAATTTTTTTCCTGTTTGGAGCTCATTCTGCTGTAATATTGTTTTAGGGGAGGTACAGTTTTGTTGGAGCTCAGCCAACGATCGAGATTGTGGCTAAAGAGAATATTGTAACAATCATGGACCACGAGGAGGGATCCAGGACAGAGGAAATCGTGGAGGATCCAATGGTTGTTCCCCGTAGAATTATGGAGGGATGGAAACCCCAGATGATTGATGAGCTTCCAGAAGCATTTTGCGGTAAGAAACTTGATACGGTGGCTTTAATCTGCTGATATTCATATTGATTTGCTTTATTGCAGCTTCGTTTCTTTCATGCAAAACTTACTAAACAGTGGTGTCATCATTATGAAAATAATTTGTCTCAAGTGATAATATTTTGTGAATTGGACTGTTCAACTATTTCATGATATCAAAGTCCTATTTCTTTTAATAATTTCAGAACAAGTTTTCATCTTTTGTCTGCAAATAACAAACTCCTCTTGGACCAGGTGGATGGGTTGGTTATTTTTCATATGATACGGTGCGCTACGTGGAGAAGAGAAAACTACCATTCTCTAGTGCCCCATTAGATGACAGAAACCTACCTGATGTTCATCTAGGCCTTTATGATGACATTATTGTATTTGATCACGTGGAGAAGGTATATTCACTTTGTTCATGAAGCATGTTTGAGTCAAAGTTTGACTCTTTTGGCGAGAAAGCACCTTCTGTAGCTGAAAATTCTGAATAAAGAAATCCGAAGACATGAACATGAAAATATTCATGCATGGTGGCTTTTGATGTAAGAGTTCAATTTGTTGAGTTTTTTTCCTCTGAAATCATGGTCAAATAAGTGATACTCTATGAAAGATGTGATAGATCATGTGCATAATGATGTACAACTGATGATTCTGTCACTGATTTAATGTACTTGATTCTTCATTTTGTTTCCTTGCCTCCAGAAAGCTTACATTATTCATTGGGTTCGATTAGATCAATATCCTTCAGTTGACGAGGCATTCGATGATGGAATGAATCGATTGGAGACTTTAGTATCTAGAGTACATGATATAGATCTGTGAGTAATCTTCTTTTTACATGCTAATGAAGTAAGTGCTTTTTATTATGATCAATTAGAAAGTAATGCACTATTAATTGGCCCTGCTAAAGCTCGATCTATTGGTGAATTCAAATTTCAGTCCAAGACTGCCAGCCGGTTCAATACAGCTGTTCACTCGCCTGTTTGGTCCAAAGTTGGAGATGTCAAGTATGACAAGTGAGGAATACAAGAAGGCGGTACTACAGGCTAAAGAACATATTCTGGCTGGTGATATCTTTCAGATTGTGTTGAGCCAGCGCTTTGAACGAAGAACATTTGCAGACCCTTTTGAAGTCTATAGAGCATTGAGGATTGTTAATCCAAGCCCATATATGGCATATTTACAAGTCTGCCTTCCTTTCCCTGCGCTTGTTTAATATTACAGAGTTATTGTGGAAGCTGAATAATTATTTTTCATTTGGTTCAGGCTAGGGGTTGTATACTTGTTGCTTCAAGTCCAGAAATTCTTACATGGGTGAAGAAGGTAAATATGAGAATAGCTAAAGAATTTGCCTTCAGAGGTTTTAGTCAGCATCTTCTTTCATACCCTCTTTTTGCTGCATTTGGAATTTAAGAGTTTCCTGGTGATTTTTCGTTCATGACAGAAAAGGGTTACTAATAGACCTCTTGCTGGGACTGTCAGAAGAGGAAAGACACCGAAGGAAGATTTGATGTTAGAAAAAGAGCTTTTGAATGATGAGAAGCAGTGTGCTGAGCACATTATGCTGGTGGACTTAGGTAGAAATGATGTTGGAAAGGTTCGATGCTTCACCTTCGCTGTTGTTTTATTCTCGTATTTTCTTTTTCTACATGATAAGGCATTCTAGTGTCCAGATATTACTCCTTTCTTTGGTGATCCTTCTGGTTTGTCAACTATGCATACTTAGTGTGTTGTGACAATGCACGCTTAGTGTTTGCTCCCCATAGTGGACTTGTGTAATTAGTGCCCATGGGAGCACTAATCTTCATTTTCTCAACACCTTTCACCATGGATGAGATTTGCAAACTTCTGGCATATACTGCCTCTTGAGTTCTCTCACTCATGTTCATGATTTGTGTCTGATCTACTCAAAAATCTGAGGAAGTTAGTTTCCATACCCAGGCCTATGTTGAAGCGCCATTTGGCTTTTATTGGTTGGGTTATAACATATTAACCTATGTTGAACATGTCATTCCTATTGCTTTCCAAGATATTTCTCATGCATGTCTACTTGGTAGGTTTTGTTTGCTAGACAGTTAGCTAGTGTGCTGCTTAGTGAATTTCATGGGTGACATGTAATGGGAACGGAAAAGAGGAAATTTTTTTACCTTGATCCTACTGTTTATGGTGATGAATTTCCTGATCTATATACTGTAGCTTATTTATGCATGGAGATGACACCCTTGTTTTTTCAGGTATCGAAACCTGGTTCTGTCAAGGTTGAGAAGCTCATGAATATCGAGCGCTATTCTCATGTGATGCACATAAGCTCTACGGTAATTGTTCTTTTTAGTTTGTATCCTAGAGGATTGCTGAAGAAAAAGTCCTCCAATTTTTTTATGCAATTAACACAAGGAACCAGTTAAACATCATTTTTGTCATTGTTTTCTTTGTCTGTTTGCAGTGTCTTTCACTCTTAACTTATTGGTTTTAAGCGTTTGAAATTTAATTTTATCTAGTACCGAACACCCCAAGCTTTTAGAAACCCATTGCTTTGAAGATTTGTGGTCAATTGCAATCATGTCAAGTTTTTCCGGAATTTATCAACATTAATTTAAATTTCTATATGTGGGAAAGTCAATATGCAACTTGCTGTTAGAATTACAGTGGATACATTCTGCAATTTTAACTGAACTTCTGCTCTTTTCTCCCGCTTATTTTTATCACACCGTGATAATTTACTCTTATGATTATAATATCGTATACGGGGTACTTCTTCCACACCTTGGAAGCAAAGGAATAAATCATTATTTATTGACTTGTGCCTCATATAGTTGCATGCTTACCATTTCAGGTCACTGGGGAGTTGCTTGAGAATCTGTCCAGCTGGGATGCTTTGCGTGCAGCATTACCTGTTGGAACTGTTAGTGGTGCACCAAAGGTTTTTTTCTGACCTATCGGTAGTTTTTAATATCCAGGTTGCTTTTCCATACTACCATGTCGGATTTCAACCGTTCAGTTTGCTTACAAAGGTGTAGTCTATCTTTATGCATAAGTTGAGATGAGAAATTGAAAGTAAACTGACTTGATTGAGCACGAGCTACATAATGATCTATTGACTACTTTCACATAATGAACTGTTAGGGGACTCTACTCTTGATGCGTTGCTTTAATAGACCTGCGTGGACATTACAATTGGAGCAGTAGCATTGCAGGTTGATGTCAAGAAAGCATAATATTCCATGTGCTAAAAGTTAAATATATCTTTTCAGATAGAGGCATCTCGGTATATTTGCAGGATATCGTGCAAGTATGGTCTCAATTCCTGTGTACTAGAAAAGGGGAAAAAACACAGTATATATCAGTCCGTGTACCTACCCGGGCCTTCTCTCTGCCAGAATTCATGTTACTCTGTTGCTCATTTTATTTACGTATAGGTGAAAGCCATGGAGTTGATTGATCAGTTGGAGGTCACCAGGCGGGGGCCTTATAGTGGTGGATTTGGAGGCATTTCGTTTTCGGGTGATATGGACATTGCGCTTGCTTTGAGAACCATTGTTTTCCCAACAGGAATCCGCTACGACACAATGTACTCATACAAGGACATGAACAAGCGTCGGGAATGGATTGCTCACCTTCAGGCCGGTGCAGGTGTTGTGGCTGACAGTGACCCGGCTGATGAGCAGAGAGAGTGCGAGAACAAGGCTGCTGCTCTTGCCCGTGCCATTGATCTCGCAGAGTCGTCTTTTGTTGGTAACTGACTTTTAGAGTGCTACTCAAGCAAAATTTGTAGGGTGGGGCACTTTTGGTTGCTGTATCGACGAGATTTTGGGAACGGTCTTAATCGACCTCAAGATAGATGTTCATCTAAATCTCAATTTCGGGAACAGGGGCTCAATGCTATTAAAAAACGAAGTGGTTTGACACTGTGGTGCCTGCTTCTTGAATCTGAATCTCCCAAACTCAATTATTGAACTCGAGCTCTCATAAGCGTCGGCTCGGGCGATTAATATGTTAGAAGCCGATAAAAAGAATTTTCTTGCCAATACCGAGCCAATTTTTTTTATAGGTAACTCAGATTTCATCGCAATACCGAGCTGTGCGGGATAAATCCACTACAAATCAACATATGAGATGGATCAAACACAGAGTTCCGATAGAACTAGTCATGCTACCAACTAGAAAATCGAACTTGGCCGAAAAGACATAGTTGGGATAGCTGAGGATAAGTAATTTTACATTAAAGTTGTTGATGGCCTCCCACACTGTGCTTTGACCGCAAAGGAAACCAACTTTAACTTGTTAATTTGAGGTCGTTGGGGGACCTACATTGGATCAACAACTTTCTTACTTCTTTGGCGCGTTCCCGGTGTTGACTCTTGTGATGTTGAAGTTCAAGTAATGTCATGGAGCCAACCGACTTTACCAACGGAAGGCAATTCTGTCAGCAAGCATTTGAACTAGGAGTTACGAATCATATGATAGACACGAGAAAGTTATCTCGGACGCATTCGAAAATAATGCGTTGAGCGGGAGGATCCCAATTGTTTTAGCCCAAGTCAGCCAATATCAAGGCAATTATTCGCCCGGATCCGGGATGCAAACGAATCAAGTCCATCATGACCGTCGATTACGTTGACTCCACACAATCGACAACCAGGGTGTGTTTGAGTTTATCGGCCCAGATCCAAGCAAGTCTTAACTCTAATGTCAATAACATCCGGCCAAAGAGAAGATCTAAGTAAATAAAATTCACATTTATTTCTCGATAGAACCGCTTATTTTCTGAGGAACTGCTTTCCAAGGAAATGCAACACGACACAGTATTGCCCTGACGACGAGAGTAAATAACAATGCCTTACAAGCACAAGCAACTTGTGAACTGTAAAAGGTTGTTTAGACATCACTGTTATTTTAGAGAATAATGACATAAATGGTCATTGAATTTTAACCTAATATGCAATGCAGTCTCCAAAATTTCAATTTATTCAATGTGGTTCATGCACTTTAGCCAAACGTGCAATTTTAATTTATTTAATGCGATCCATGAACTTTTGGTAAATGTTCGAACCAGTCAATAGACTATGAAAAGAATCAATGTTATTCTTCCATTAAGTTGAGTTATGGGAAAACATCGAACATCACTAGTTTGGATCGTATCGAATAAATTAAAAGTTCAAGGACGATAATACATATTGAATTAAAGTGCATGGATCATATTGATTAAATTGAAAGTTTACAGATCCTATTGCAATAAATAATAGTTGAATGATCTTTTATTGGTTGGTCGCACATAGTATTTGCGTCATTTTCCTTTGTTTTGGATAAGACCTCTCTTTGCTTCTGCTGCCACGCTCGCAAGGACAAAAAAGGACAAGACTAGCCGCCTCCCAAAGCCATCCAAAAGCGAGAGAGAGAGAGAGAGAGAGCGAGAGAGAGAGAGGGAGCGACTCATAACCCGTTTAGGCCATTTGCATTCACCATCTTCATCCCAAGAGCATTGGCAGGCGACCCTCCCTGGAACCTCAAAACCGGGTATCTCCTCCTCTTCCACCACCTGTTGGTGTCTCCGATGAATTCTTGACGTGCATGCATTCTTCTAATCAAAGTTACGATTTTCTCGAATTTGCGAATCTCGTTCGGTTCTGGATGATTTGATAATACCCTCTTTCGCCTTCAAGTTCTGGAGGCTTCCCAGTTCAGAAACTTGAATGTCCTTGATTGATGATATGTCGTGTGTGCCGCGACTGCTTATAAAGAACAAACTGTTATGGACTTTGGTTGACTACTGTCGGCTTGTGCCGTCTGGGATCATACCTCAATGTGTTTTTCTCTCCTTTCCTTTGTAGTGGGTGGAGCGATCGTTGGAATGTTTACCTTAACATCTCGGAGTTCAGTTTTGTCTTTGATTAGTTGTCCGAGTTTCTTTCATAGAATGGATACGTAATGAGTCCTACTTAAGTATTCGCCACAGGCCACAGCTGCTTTCAATGATGAAGTGGTTTGAGTCTGATCCTGTTCTTGGAAATGAGTTTTGACCTTATCATGTGTTGAGCCATTCTCACTCTATGGTATGGTATGGTGTGGGATACTTGTTCGTAGTATGTGGCGACAATCTTTATAAGATAATGGTGCATTGATTTGAGGCTTGAAGGAGATCTAGGCGAGAGCGTGCAGGGGAATCTTACTGCCTTAAGTTGTCTTGTGGAGGACTCTGCATTCAACTGTTGCCCCTTTGTCAATTTGATCAGGCTTCTTTCTTAACGAAACGAAACCTTGCACCGCAAATTTGTCTTCAGTTAACCAATTGGTTTCGGACTTCATATATAATGCTGCTTGTCTTCCGATTATTGTTGAAGACAGATGCTTAACATGCTATATAAAGACAGATGTTTATGTTCTTGCAGTTTTTTTTTGGGCTACTCGCTGGCTGACGGGGTATCTGGCTTACAGGCATGTCAACTGTGAAGATTTATGTCGTGTAAGTGTGTCAATCTCTCTGCCCTCTCCTTTGCACAGATTCATATTAGTGAAATTACATGTAATGAGTTTTGACTTGTCTATTTTATCTTTCCTTCCTTCCCTTAACTATGAATGTTTATTGAAGGTTCTACTCCTTATATGGGCACGTGGAGACTATGGCACGAGAAGTGCAGCGAGGAGCAAATACTGTTCAAGATGTTGAAGCAACACTTTGGCAGGTATTTGTCAATCAGCTAATGATCGCCTCGAAAATACTGAATGTCCATTTTCTGCCAATCTTTCAACTGATGGAATGAAACAGGTACCCGAAACGCTCTCTGATGTGATATTGCAAAAGATGAAGGCCCCCGCTAAAGCAGATGATGTGGCAGAGATCAGGCCAGAACAGCTTTTGGAGGCTGATGGCTTCATATTCGGGTTTCCTTCTCGATTCGGAGTCATGGCGGCACAATTTAAGGCGTTCTTTGACGCCACTCACGAAATATGGGAGACTCAAGCACTTGCGGGCAAGCCTGCAGGAATTTTCTGGAGCACTGGTTTTCATGGAGGTGGCCAGGAGCTTACCGCGTGAGCATTTCTTCTTCCGATTCACTTCATGAGAATTTGATGATGCAGCCATCTTTATAATTTCTGCATACAGCCTTAAATCTTGAGCACCTAGCTAATGCAGGTATGTTTGGAGTTTGCAGATTAACTGCTGTTACGCAACTAGCGCATCATGGAATGATATTTGTCCCTCTTGGATACACGTTCGGTAGTGGCATGTTCGAGATGAACGAGGTCAAAGGCGGCTCTTCTTACGGTGCTGGAACCTATGCAGCCGATGGGTCACGGCAACCCACGGAACTGGAACTTAAACAGGCTTTTCACCAGGGTAAGTATGTTGCTGAAATAGCTAGGAAGCTCAAACGCCCAAACCCCCAGACCTAACGACAAAGCAAGTAGTTGTACATTTGAATGGTGGAAATTATTTCGAAAATTCAACTACAGAGTATAGTTGATATAAACTGGTAAGTGTGACATTTCATAGTGATTTAAGTACAAGACCCGCCATTTTGTCCCTTACGTGGATACCGACGTGGTGGTATAGTTGCCGGAAAAGAAGCATGTGAAGTAACTCAGCGACAATGCGGGGGATTTCAGAAAGGTTGTTTTGAATGCACAAGATGTGAAGAAAAAGCTCCACTTCTAACCATTTATCATTGTTCTACCCTTTCCCTGATTTCGATCAGAATCATGATTAAGTAGTCTCATAGTTTTTGGGTTTGTTTGATTGAATGATCAGTCGATATAATTGATTTAGGAGCAGTTCCTGGTTCAGACAGGATTACCTAATTCGCGAGGACGCGATTTGAACATGTCCAGGCCGCCTATTGCCATGGATTCCTTATTGCTTCTTCAACAAGTCTGGGGGATATTAGTCATTCAATCAACGCGAGGGCTTAGATCAATGTACTTAAAGCCGAGGGAACAACTTCGCCATTTCGAATGGATGTTCCGGCTTATAAAGAAGAACATGATCCAATTAAATCAGATCATAGTCCGAAAAAAAAGATAGAACGAAAGAAAACTGAGTCTGATTCACAAAGCAGATTGGGGTAGGTGAACATCTTCTCCCATTTCAGTTCTGATAAATGGATTGGACTTCCAAGTGCTAACATCTCCTCTGGGAAAAGTTTCTTGGGAACAAACCATGTGACCAGTTCCTTCATCATCGCAACTCCACCATGAACAAAACGCTAATCTACCTGCGCCGGGGACAACTGTACATGATCAAGAGGTGGTAGTGTTGAATAGGAAAGTCGTGGGTCTTCACGGATTAGTGTATCTTGATGCTAACTTTGCAAGGAGATTATATATACTATGGTCAGGGGAACATTAAAAAAAAAGATCATATTTTTTATGCTGTTCTTACTTGAATGACTATGGCCTCAATGCACAAAAGCCACTAATTATGTGAAAGAAAACTACAAACTACAATTGTATAAACAGTCACTTTTTATTTGGGGAATTTACTATATACATTAAAAAATTAGTAATCACGTATACTTCTAATTCTTCTATTGTAAACAAATTATTAGCTTGATAAAGAAATTACGAGTTTCGGATTTGTCAAATTTACTTCTCCATATTAAAGTCATTAGTTATGACGTGGAGAAGCTATTTGCTATATTTGGGTTGAAAGTTATGCATCATTGCAGTAAGCTGCTAATTTCACGAAATATATTCGAGGAAAATGTAACTTTTCAACGCAAAAAAAGTTATTAACCACGGCAATGAAATTGTCTATCATACTTAATTACTTTTTGTTCCATGGGAAATGTTACTACCAAATAGCGTGGTGCGGAAAAGTTACTAATCGCTGAGCGGTGGAAAATTTAGTTTTATTTTTCCGTGCAAAGTTTAACTAAATTAAAAAATTTATTGATCGATATATATATATATATATATATATATATATATATATAATTCCTAAGCACGGTTTTCAATAAAAACTCGCACGTGAGTTTTTTTTACTGTTTTCTTCAGCGACGAACGACGTCGTTCCCGCGGCTGAGCTGACCTCAGATCAACTAACAATTCTGCGCAAGGACAACGTAGCACCTCGGATCGAACAACCCTTCTGCAAATCTCTCTTCTCTCTCTCTCTCCGTTGACCGTCGCGAGGATGGAGAGCCTCTGGCGAGCGGCGACTTTCCAAGCGCCGGACCCCGACGACTACGCCGGAGTCGAGTTCTGGGCCGAGCCGGAGCGCGCGGGCTGGCTCAGCAAGCAAGGCGACTACATCAAGACGTGGCGCCGCCGCTGGTTCGTGCTCAAGCAGGGGAAGCTCCTCTGGTTCAAGGACCCCAGCGTCACCCGCCTCTCCGAGCCGCGCGGCGTCGTCTCCGTCGGCCGCTGCCTCACCGTCAAGGGCGCCGAGGACGTCCTCAACAAGCCCTTCGCCTTCGAGGTCTCCACCAATCAGGACACCATGTTCTTCATCGCCGATTCGGAGAAGGAGAAGGAGGAGTGGATCAACTCGATCGGCCGGTCGATCGTGCAGCACTCGCGGTCGGTGACCGAATCGGAGGTAGTTGACTACGATAGCAAGCGGTAGTGCCTGTGCTCGTTCCATTCCCCGCCCGCCGCCCTTTGCTTTGTACATTAGGTATACGTTTATGCGATCCGTTTCAGGAATGTGTGTGTTTATAGCCGGTGGTTCTTGTTACTGACTGCTCTGTGCAGAAACCCGGATTATCAGGCGTACAATGTAAGGTGTCGATTTTGCATGTCTTGTATTGATATATCGCATTTTTTATTGCTATTTCTGTTGAATTTTGCTGCAATTCAGTTGGTCTCTTTGGCCCCCTCTGAATGAAGATATGGTGATTACCTTCTGATTGCTGCCAATGAAAGGATTTTTTTTTTTTAACTTTCTCTTAATAAATCCCTGATTTTGCCTGTGTTTCCGCCCATTCATCCATCATCAGTTTGTGGTGAAGTTGAGTATTTCGAGCTTCTTGATTTCACGGTAGCAGCTAGAATTCACTGAATGTTGAATTGATCAACTGGAGTTTACTTGTCATGGATGGTTCATCCCGACTGACATAATAGCTATTTAGGTATCTTGTGGATTGATCAATTGGAGTAAATCATGCTACCATCTATGCTTTACCGATGATCTTAGGAAGTATTGAGTTAGGTATCTGGGTCGGTCTGAGCGTTTGTAGATGTATTAGGACATCCCAGTGACAAACAATCGACATGTTTTTCGTGCGAGCTAATTTATGGTTTAGACTTCATCGGCAAATCTAAAGGAAGGGGATAGATAAAGTGGGCAACGTTGAAGAAGCCACCAAGGAACGAGTGCACTCCGCCATATATTATCATAAATAGTACAGTAGTCACAAAGGTACTCGCTATGGTGAAATCTCTGATGCAATTGTTGCTTAGCCAAGAACTGAAGGCTACTCTTAGTCAAGCTGTAGGAACCGTGCATCATGATCGTACGTGTTCTCTAGCCAAGGAACTTTGCCCTGATTTCAGAAAGTTCTGTCACAACATCTTTCATCTTCATGCGCTCATTAGGACTTTCCATTGAGCATAGGACTCCAAGCCTGAAGAGAGCAATCAAGCAATCGATTTTGCTCGTTGTGGCTCTACTGCTCTCGACATATTCTTCATCAAAATGGGCTCTGCTGCTCTCAACAATCTCTCTGTGACTCCGATGAGCTTGTGCTTCTTGTAGCAGTGAAGGTTCAACAATCTCTTCCACTCTTCCATGCAAAGCTATCTTAGCATATTCTTGGAGGGTCATCCCATCCTTAAACATGCCATCTGTAGGGCGTTTTCCAGTGAACATCTCCAGTAGCAGAACTCCGAAACTGTAGACATCTCCAGGCATGGATGCTTTGCCACCCATGCCATACTCTTAACAAAATGCAACGAAACTCGATCAGACATAGAGATGTTTTGATATATGCAAAAGTCATTCTGTGCTTGCTATTTATAAATCATAAGGTTGAGGCATTTCTATCCATGGAGGGTCAATATGGAGGAAGATGGTGAAGTTATTACCTGGAGGAACATAGCCGACTGTTCCCTTCACTCCTGTTGAGCTGCTTTGATTCGGTGAGCAGTTATCTGGTAAGGCACTTGGTAGAAATTTTGCTAGCCCAAAATCTCCTAGATGAGCTGTCATATCATGATCAAACAGAAAGTTGCTCGGCTTTAAATCACCGTGAACTACTGAAGTTTCGCATTGGTTGTGAAGATAGTCGATTGCCAAGGCCATATCAAGGGCTGCATTCAGTCTTTGGACAAGGCTAAGATTCCTCAAATCAGGTCGGACTTCAGACTTTGTTACTTCAGGTTGATCTTCTTTTTGGTGCAACCACTCGTCCAAACTTCCATTGTGCATAAACTCATACACTAGAGCTTTGAAATTGGCACACTGAAAGTCAATGCTTGAGCATGTGGTGATGATCTTGACGAGATTGCGGTGACGGACACTTCGCAATGCCTCGCATTCTGCAATGAAACTCTTGAAAGCTCCCTTTCGTCTGAGATTGAGTACCTTGACTGCTACCATCATCCTTTCTTCTCCAAGAATTCCTTTGTACACAGAGCCATAACTTCCTTCTCCAATCAAATTCGAAGATGAGAAGTTATCGGTGGCTTGCTGGATCTGAAGATACGAAACTTTTGGAAAGTGTTCTTTGATGGATGGTTCTGAAGATCGTTTCCTTCCAGATTTCCTCGGCCTGGTCAGACTAATCACGAAGCACGCTAAAAGGAGGAAGCACAAAACGGTCTATGGAATCACTAATTTAAGAGTTCTCTGCTTCTTCTTTCTGTGGATTTTGCATGGAGGTAGTCCTAGTTCCTCTGTACCCCCACAGAGGCGGCTGTTCCCAGTAACTGTTATAACACTGACATTCCGAAATAACCCATCATGCGGTACTTCTCCTTCGAGGTTATTGAATGATAAGTTTAGATCCTGTAGGAGAGTGAAGTTCTGTGGTACTTCAGAATTTGACCAGATAACTTGTTCCTTCCTAGGTCAAGAAGTTGAAAGCTTTTTAAAGCACTGAGAGAGGAAGGGATGCTTCCTTCAAAGAGGTTGTTTCCCAGATCAAGACGCTCTAGCATTGTGCATTCCCCCAATGTAGTAGGAATGACTCCCGACAACCTATTGTCAGAAACATCCAATTCTACAAGGTTGCTCATATTACCCAGCTCTTGGGGCAGCGGTCCATTTAAGAGATTTCTAGCCAAATTAAATGAAATGGACATGAAAGGAAGGGTAACGGCCTCTGCTGGTATTGTGCCAGTGAGGTTGTTACTGGACTGGTTAAGTGTTTTGAGTCGACAGCTTCCTATACTAGAAGGTATATTGCCTTGTAAACTATTTTCTTGCAAGAACAGTCTTGTCAACTGGCTAATGTTTCCAAACGAGGGAGGAATTGCTCCAGAGATATTGTTGTGGGAGAGGTCGACTTCTAATAATTTGTGAAGCTTTCCAATGTTTTCAGAAATTACACCTGTAACAAAGTTCCTAGACATGTCCAAGCGAGTTATACCTTTCAAGCTTTCTAGTCCACTTGGAATTTTGCCAGATATCTGGTTTGATCCCAATAATAGCCATCCGAGCTCACTTGAGAAGTTGGAAACTGAAGGAGGTAATTCACCTTCAAATTGGTTCGTGCTTATATCCAATATTTGGAGTCCGCTACAGTTGGTTAAAGAATTCATAAAACTGAAGCCGTCGTCCTTCAAATTTGTCAACTCATTCTCATGGAAAACTAATCTGCCAAGCCTCTCTAAGTTTCCAAGGTTTAGAGGTAGGGTTCCAGAGAAACTATTGTCGGCGAAGTCGAGTTCTACCAGTCCTGTTGCATTGGGTAGCGAAACAGGTATTTTGCCTGTGAAGCTATTTCTTCCAACATAAAGCCCTTCTAGATTAGGAAGAGTGAAGCCAATATCAGGCTGAATTTCACCATGCAGTCTATTGTTTCCCACATCAAGAATTGAGAGAGAAGTAAGATTATAAACTGATGGGGGAATAGTCCCGGAGAAATTGTTTCCAGAAATCTTCAGAAAATTTAATCTTGACATTTTCCCAACGGCAGCGGGGATGGTACCTTGTAGATGGTTATCTGAGATGGCAACTTCAAGCAGTGAACTTAAATTTCCTAACCATTCTGGAAAATTTCCTGTCAGGTTGTTATCGGGAACTAGAAAACTAATCAGTTTGATTAGCATACTCTTCGGTTCGACTAGGATCTTACCTGTTAACTTGTTGCTTGTCAAATCAATGCCCAGAAGTTCTGAACAAGAAGTCAAATTGATAGGTATCTCTCCCTCAATAGCGTTATAGCTGAGGTTGAGGAACTTAAGTCGGTATAAACGACAAACCTCCGGAGGGATCTGACCCCGGAAGCCATTGCTGGCGAGGTAAAGATATTGGAGGAAGGAGAGATTTCCTATGGATGGTGGTATCGTGCCGACCAACTGATGATCCATTAGGTTCAGAAAGGTGATCCTTTCTTTGTGCCGGCGGCTACGTCTTACACCAGTCCAATTACAGAAAGGCAGAGAATCATTCCATGAACTCATCACCCCGAATGGATCGTAAGCTATGTGGTTCTTGAGGGAGATCAATGTGACTTTGTCGGGTGCATCTTCAGAGTACGCCGCCGTTGCTGGGAAAGACATGCATCTCGGGGGCATCATGCATGTCAGAATGCTCAGAAATATGGGAATGCATAGACTGGTGCAGTCCTGTGAACAAAGTGCTCTCATTGCGAGGAATTACAAGATTGCGATAGAGGAGGAAGTTTAAGGTCTAGCGTGGGACAATGAATTGCATTGGCATATTGATATTGGATCTGCCAAGGATATCACGGGGAACTGCAAAATAGCGTAATTTCCTTGCATGCGCTGCCCTGACAGCGATAGAAACATCCACATCGGAAGACTTGATGGTCTGACTGCACGTTCATGACTCGGAAGAAAGTAAAATTTTGCGAGAAATTTTGTTCCCGCCAGTTCTGTGCATGTCATTCCAGCGCTATCAATCATTGCGCTCGAGGACTTACTAGTCATAGTCAAGTTTGTATGAACGAGGTGAGGCATGACTTTGCTAGTGTGAATGTGATTAGGTGATACAGGGACCTTTCTTATTACAACTTTGTACCGTGTGGGATCAATTGGTTAATAAATCTCAGCCGTTGGATGACGGTAACGTATGGCACACTATTCTATCTTAAGAATTTCGTGAGATATAGGACTAGCTTTTATAGAAATTACATGAGGATCCATAGTCAATATCAGTGCTCTATTCTACACCTACAAACAATCGAAAGCTGTGGCTTCAGCATGTAGGTGACACGGTCCCCCCTTTTGATAGATGGCAACTTACTAGCAGGTTGCGAATTCTTGTAGTTACGTACACGCTTTCTAGTTCTTCCGTGTCGGCAAACGTGTTGCATCGTGCTCCGCCAAAAACGAGTCGTCGCACTGTGTAAACTGGGAAGAGTGAATTACTGCATCACTTCAAGTAATGTTAGATCTCACATGGACATGCGAAAGGGATGGGTATGGTTATAATTTCCGTGCGCTTTTTTGGGTAGTGGTAGGTTAGTCTCCAATCTAGGACTCATGTAGGAATGAATGTTGTGCTTATTTTACGGTCGACTGTCGCTTCAAGTTGCTCGAGTCTTCTGAGATATTCTCCACCCACAGTAAGTCAAGATTCCTTTGAAATGCCATGGCACACTGGAGGGACATATTTGTTTATTTCAGATTGTCCCCCACGATATTTGTTATTCATTGGAGCTTTTTCGACTAGAATGCGTCCCACTCGCAATTGTGCAGCACTAGGCGGGGCATCGACTTTATTCATGTAAAAGTCATAGTCAGTCAACCCTTTGCTAGGAAGGAATTAAGCAGGCTCGTCCAACGGAAGAAGACTATTATTGTCTCCTTGGTCACCAGTTTCGCACGATTCATGATGCTTTCTGTGCTTTTCCGAGGCGATTCCTTGCTCATTTGGGGCCCACTGAATCGGATCGACCACAACGGTTGATCATGCGAGTGCTATATATATGAGCCGCATATATGGGTGGTATGTGATCGATGGGTGTGATCTGGTCCGAATCTGAATCAGAATTGCCCTGTATCTAAGGATGGACGTAACGGCTTAAAAGGGCTTCCTTATTGTCTTAGAACTCAGCTTTAATTAAGCAGGCATTAGGAAGAGTGAAGTCTGAACTGATATGCTCAAGAACGAGCTGAATTGGAAGAAATCAAATTTTGCGAAACTTTATCGATAATCAACGTGCAAATTCCGGTGCTGAAATGAATTTTAAAAGTATGGGTACTAGTTAATAATCTTATCGAAAGTTTTCCACGTTGCCACTCAAAATAGTTTGTCATTCATGCTTCGGCAGCAGGAAACTGAGAACGAGAGGTGATTAATGCCTCGAGTAAAAGCTATGTCATGCCCTCAAGGATTAGTCTCTCGCTCAGAATAAGTTTCTAATTTCTGCAATAAATATTGTTAATATAGACAGGTAAATACTAGTAAATGTGCAATTGACATGTCCAGGCTATAAGGACGAACATGCAAAGGGGTGTACTTATCTGAGTGAATACAGTGGGGAGGTTTATTCAATATCGGATCTCCGAAAGTAAGAAATGAACACGAACGAGCTACCTAGATTCAAGGTAGATGAATAATTCTCCTGAGTATGCTTCTTTTTTGTTAGGATTCTCACGGCTTGTGCCTACTCGGCGGGTGAATAGAGTGGAAAATAGTTCGGATAATTTTGTCAATCACAAAAGCGCATGGTAACTATCATTTTGATTTCTTAAATGAATTAGTAAGTTTCTGACACTAGTCCATCCATGCAGAGTTCAGTAACTTTTTATATGTGTAAGTAATCATCTCTTGCCTCTTCCATCAAATTTGCTTTCTGATATGAAAAAACCAAGCCATCGAATACCCTGGTTTAGCTAATGCAAGCACTAGGAAAAATCCTCGTCCACTCCACAGCAACTGGATAGGGATCCATCTCTCTGAGAAGACTACGAAAACAAGGTTCGTTCATAGCAGGAAAGTCACCCCTCTATGCAGAATTATCATCTCTCCTTCCGATGACGAGAAGATGGTTTTCTGTCATATGTAGACCTACTATCCAATTCGCGCTTCTTGGATCGACTCTCTTCCTTCCTCTCATAACAGTCTCTCGATCTAGGCTTCGTATCGTCATCATCATGCCGTCTCGATCTCTTTTCTTCTCTCCTTCTGGGCTCATGATCATCATCATACCTTTTAGTCCTTTCTTCTTTCCTGTCCCGGTCTTTCATACCTCGCTCAACATTGTCATTATTCCCGTCCCTCCTGAAGTTCTTATCCTCCCTCCTATCAAACCTCCCTCTTGACTTTTGTTCAAAATCATCAGGATCGTGCCTTCTTGATTTTCTGTGCTCCTCGCCTTCACGGCCTGCCTCCCTCTCCTTTGCAGTGAAACTCGAATCCATACTTCGTGACTTATGGCCATCTCGCGCTCTAGATTCAGGAAGACCGTTGCGTGAGAGACCACTAGACCTTTTCTCTCCCCTTTCTGGACCATGAAACTTGTCATGGCCCCACTGCCCATCCTCATCCTTGGCACCCCAGCCAGTGTTAGCAGCTCTCTGTTCATAGAAGATCACCAAAAACGAACCCATCAATTAATAGACCATAAGCAGGCTTGAAAAAAAAAAACATTCAATTTACTTTCAAATAGAATGCTCAACACAACACAACAGACAAGTTAATATCTCTACTAGTGTTCTGATTATATAGATTAATGGTTCCCAGCTTGGCACGAACGGCAGTCACTTAAAGGTGTTTAACACTGTTCAGAATCAAGAGCCCTATAAAATTTTTATCAACCAATGCGTAAATTGCCAACTGAATATACTATATACAGAGACAATCCATGAACTCTCATAGAAATGTATATATATGTTCAATCAGACCGTAACTCGTTGCATTTAAAAGGACGATCATTGCAATTTAACAAGCAGAAAAGTAAGGAAGAAAAACCTTTCAATTCAAGCCATCCGTTCCCTTGCCTCCTAAACCAAACCAGAAGAAACAAGAAAGACTAGAAAATTCCAATACTTTCTAGCTCCAGCCAGTAAATTTGGTATTACATCAAAGGGATCACAAAAGAGATTATACTATCTACACCTTCTCCAGTGAAAAGAAAGTCTGAACCAACTTAAGTGCAGAAAAGAAATGCTAACACAGACTTGAATTCGAGGTGCTTCAAGCGTATTTCCTAGTCCAGATTCCAGAAGAATAAGCATCTCAAGTGCATCCATTATATGTTCCAAGAAAGCACTAATAACGGTAACATCAAGCTGACATTAAAGCATCTTACTTGCTCATCATGTGAAAATTTGCACCCAGCTCCTCGAGTGCACTCGCCTCTTTGGAAAGCACGGCACTCTTTCGCTGCTCTTCCTCCTCATCCTCTTCTTCCTTCTTCTTATAGTTGTTGACATGGTCTACTCTTATAATTCTACCCAGTACTGATGCTCCATTCAGATTATCTAACCATCAATCAGAATCACGAGAGCTTAAACAATCAGTATAAACCAAACTCAAGATAACCAGCCACAAAGCACAACACGTTGCATGTACATGGAGAGAGAGAGAGAGAGAGAGAGAGAGAGAGCAACCTACGGCAAGGTTTGTACTCCGCTGATCCTCGTACGCAATGAATGCAAAGCCTTTTGATTTACCAGTACCCTTGTCTCTAACTAGGTTTACATCGACGATCTCTCCGTACCTTCAGAAACCAATTAGGAGACTAATTAATCATTTTCAAAAGCCGCCATGAAGGCTAAAAATAAACATGAATGATGTGAATTTTTGTATCCATTAAATAGATGATGAGGCAAGAGATCACATTGAAACGGCTTTATCGTACCCCTTGATAAAGTAACTGAAGAAAACCAAGTATCAATCACAGTTCTACTAAAAACTTGGTTTCACAAATCGCAAGACATCAATTCCACAAAAATATGATTTAATCTTCAAGAACTGTACATACTACACTACTTGGGAAACCAAAATATTCGAGAACTTAGGCTGTCTAAATATGCACCCAATGCTAAAACTTTCTCTACTCCACAGTCTCCACAACCTGGACTGAGTATGCCAACTAACACAGAGAATCGAAACATTGGAGCAGCTGGTGATTTCCCAACCCACAGATCAGAACTCCACATCTTAAAGCCTGGAAATCAGCTAAGAATGCAGGACGGGTCTATAACATGCATGTGAAATGTGTAGATGCTCAGAAAAAAAAATAGAGATGATTGAGCAAAATGTCAGTATGCAAGTCCGAAATTCTGGTCCTCCCGACACCTCGCAAAGTGGCAAAGTCGAGTCATTTACTTGAATTGGGTCGTTTCAAGTCACCTTCTGATCACAGTTTGTAAAAAATAACTAGAGTTTCGTGTTCTTCATCGCCGATTCGGAGAAGGAGAAGGAGGAGTGGATCAACTCGATAGGCCGGTCGATCGTGCAGCACTCGCCGTCGGTGACCGAATCGGAGGTAGTTGACTACGATAGCAAGCGGTAGTGCCTGTGCTCGTTCCATTCCCCGCCCTTTGCTTTGTACATTAGGTATAGGCTTATGCGATCCATTTCAGGAATGTGCGTGTTTATAGTCGGTGGCTCTTGTTACTGACTGCTTCGTGCAGAAACCCGGATTATCACACGTGCAATGTAAGGTGTCGAT